AAACCCCGTGGTAACCGGACTCTATCTACGGGAAACGATTTCGAAAAAAGAAGAAGAGCTGCCGAGGCGAAGCACGTGTCCCGCGAAAAGGGATACGAACAATGTGGTAAGATTCTGTGATTCCCTGGAATCACGGTGTTCTCCCTTTGTGAATAATTGAGCGAAATTATGCAGAAGCTACCAACCCCTCAATGATCGGAAACGAAGTAAATTTAGTTTAAAGTTTTTAATTTAAAAAAAAGAACATTCATTTATTTCTATTGGGTATATTTTATTTCTTGTTGTTTTACAGTGTTTTTGAATGGATTATTTAATAACGAATAGTATAATTAATGTAATTGGAATATATTTGTATTATTATAAGTCTAAAATGGAACTATGGCTTGGTAGTTTTAATAATTGTAGATCATACAAGTTGGATGGTAATGTTTGCTAAACAAAGATCATAAAATTACGGGATCTGTGTCTAAGTAATATTTCGTTATTTTGAGGGTTGGTATGTTTCTGCATAACTTGGCCCAATTATTATTCCATGTTATGGAAATAACAATCTGGTCTCTAATGTAGTACCATGAGACTGCGATTCTTGTGTATTTATAGAAAATGCGAATTTGCAGTATGATAACGTAGACGATGAATGTTTGTGCAGACACGAATTTCGTGACGAAGTTTCTTCCTATCATTAAACTATATCACAGTAAATAGTAAATGAAAATAAGACATCCCCTGGATAATTACCATCCTACTGTTCCGCGGTCGATGGACTGAAGAAGTAATAAAATTTGTTTAATAAATAAAATTTAAATCATTCTAACATCAGAATATGTACATAAAATAAGTGTAAAATCTCTTGTTATTGTGGTTAAACACGAAAATAAACGATATAATAAACGAAAAATGTAAATAATAGAATAAAAATTTCAATATATTATTATGAATATATCTATTGAAATACAAAGAATTTTGTATATCTTAACAATCTAGTAAAGTATGCTCTGTCTGTTTTTCCTTCTAGTTTCATACTTGAAGGATCTACTGTGGAATCTGGGATTCGCTAACTTTTGGGAATAGATAGAAATTCGAATATTTCAATTATGTTATTAGAGTGATACAATGATGACGTGAGGACTATGTTAAATATATTTGACCTATTTGAAAATTTAGATATCCCAAGTTGTGTGTATAAATATGTACCGTAATTAATTATTCTATTGAGCTGATTGAGCCACACTTTATAATTTATCGCACTCGTCTCTGCTACTATGTGATTTCTATGTAGTAGACTTCAAGTCATAAAAAACAGTAATGTTACATATATTGTAATGCACATGCAGCGATAAACTATTCAATGCGTCAAAGGTTATCGTGTAAGTACGCAAACGCACTGTCATTACCAATTGCCACATTGCATCTTTGACACCCACCAACTGAATTGAGATAACTATGTATATGATCGCTTTGCGAAATTGTTAAAAAAGAACAAAAATTAACGTTTTAAACCATTACTTTCATTCCTCTTTAAAAACTACAGAAACTTTTTCATTGTAAAATACTCTCTAATTGGTTTTGTTGACTTTAAATATTAAATTATTTGAATCAAAGGTCTTCTGCTCCCTTTCTGATTTTTTGTTTGAAATTCGTCCTATTACTTTTTGCATAATTATAATTTTTTATTGTTTTACGAAACCGTATCTAGTTGAACATGCAAAGTTGGCAGTAGTACAAGACATCCACATCTTTATTTCTCGATTCTACGAAATTCTAGACTTTCCTACTGGACACGATATTTTCATATTAATCATTCGGATACTTACGTATCCTCATACTCTGTCGCTTCGTTTAAAATTTCCAGTACTCTATCCTATCTAAAGTTTCTGAACCTATCGAACACAACGCAACCACCGGATCCTAAGGGTTTTAGGGGGGTGGGGGGCTGTAGTCCCGGTCCCCACGTTCCAGGGGGACTCCGTCCTAAAACTTCCATTTCGTTATGATTAAATGTTATTTAAATTTATTTAAAATTAATTTCAACTTTCTAAGATTTATGTATTTTGTTGTGCTATATTACAAAAAGTACCCCCCTCCACCTCCTCTTTTCAACCAAATCTGATAGCCATGGGTCATAAAAAATCTTAATTCTGGCCTGGATCCTCCAGTATTTTACAAAACTTCGAAGGATTGCCTTCGGAAAAATGGATCGTCCGCAAGAGAACCGTTTGCGCCCCCATCCGCGCGGAGGGATGGAAGAGAACGGCGGGATTGATGAATCAAGGCAGCCCAAAGGGTTGAGAACAAACATCGTTAATTTGCACGCAGAATCCCGCTGGCTGAGGCCAAAAGGTCAACATTAACCATGGTATATATATAGATATACATATATAGATATATAGATATGCTCGTCAAATACTCTGCACTGGACCGTATAATCCAGAACCACCGCCCGGTACTTACTACGCCGAAGTTTCGGTTGCTCGCGCGCTCCCTACGCCCTTTCAGCCGACCTAATTGTCTAATTGGCAAATAAATCCCATTGTTTTCGAATGGCGCGATCGATATGTACACCACAGGGGAGGGCTTTTGTTGCAACGACCTGTGAAAGTCGAGCGCGGTATGGTCGAGCGTTTCTCGAGGACCAGTGGACGCCACCGTTTGACACGATGGGTGTCAACTGCTTTGTGTACCAATCTTCTTCCAGTGCCCCTTCCTGCCTCGGCGTCACCCCTTGCGTATACGCGACCACAAAGGATCGACAAATTCTAACGATCCTAATGACAAAGATTACTATTGTCAGTGGCGTTTCTAATATTAGTATTCTATATTAATTCTCCCTGAATATTATATAAAATGTTTAATCGTTAGAAAGCATGGATTTAAGAGTTTATAGAGGATATCACCAAATAGCACATGACGCCTTGAAGACAAGGCGCCTTAGACCTAATATAGCCGTAAAATGGGCGTCTTCAAGGCGTCATGTGTTATCTGGGTCATTTATTGTAGAAAAGGTCTTACAGTTGTACAATTGGGAAAAATGTCATTTTTTAATATACATTTGAAAACATGTGTGTCAGCCCCACGATGGTGTCACCCGATGCGGGCCGCACCTCTGCACCCCTTTAGTGACGTCACTATTATTATATAAATTTGTACACGAATTTTAGCAATCTTATAATAAGACTCTTCTATACTTTTACAGCAAATGTTACATTAATAATTCGTGAATTGAATTACCGTTCTGACTTTCGACGTCGAATAATCGGATGGTATATATTCAAATCTAGATTGTACTGTATAGAAACCTCTAAATACTAGATTATTTTGAAATTCCTATAACAAACAAATAACAAACATATGAATTCCTAATCAAACTGGTCCGAACAGTACCGTAGATACTTACAAGGTTTAATATATTATGTAATCCTATTTGAGTTATAAGGCGGGGAAAATGAAGGGGAATATTATATGATCATTTGCAAAATATGTATATATATATATATATCTATGTATCTACATTTTATCGTAACTGCATGATCATTAGATCACGCGCATTTTAAATTGTTACAAATTATTTCACAAAATATAAAATAAAGAAAATGAAACAAAAACGCCATTAATTTTCCGTAGAGTTTTTATTTCATTGCGTTTTTTGCGAATGCATTTATCAGTGATGTATATACATATATATGTACATATGTACTTTCATATTTTAGTTTTCACTACAGTCACCGCGAGGTGGCAGTAACTGATAGGCGACTTGACGGTTTCAAAAATGGCTCTCAGGGTCCCTGAATATAGACAACCAGATTAACATGTCAGGAATTAAAGTTTATAGTACCCATTCGTATGTTACGTGCATTTCAAATTAATGTTATAAAACGTTTATAATTTTTAACGAATTCATATATTTTTGTCATTTTTAATCTTTTCATTAAGTCCATTGAATTGCTTATTGTTTTCTTTAATGATTATATGTAAGTAGCCTAAAGTTATAAATGAAGTCATTAATAAGAATGTTCAAGTCACTTTGTTTCTTTATTCGAATTAAGAATATATCCATGTACTGAAATATTTTGAATTAAATGATATTATTCTCAGTTTGAAAAGTACAAATTGTTGAACTAATTATGTTTATTGCAGTAAATGTTCTCTTCTGCATACTAATACATCCTACTACTGCATTCTAAAGTACGTATTGCAGAACTGTTAAGGACTAGACAGTGAGGCACGCATGGGTGGGGATGAAACAGGGGGGTGGCAAACTGGAAGGAGACCGAGTTGAACGATTATCGGACAATAGTTTGTTAGTGGGGTTCACCTGCCGTATTGTTCTCTAGAAATGTGGATTCAGCTTTACTCCGCAATCGTTCCCCATCTGCGTTTAAAATCGTGTCGATACATACAACTGATAGTCTCTTACGCGCATACCAATTTAGTTCTAATTATATTTGAGATTTCATGTAAACTCAACAAAATATTTTTTAGATATTCTCTTTATTAAAAATATTTTTAATAATTTAAAAAAGGACGATAAATTTGAATCAAAATTACGTATAGTACATGTTACACCTGAATTTCAAACTTTTTTACTGAACTATTGAATAATTAAAAGAATAATCTTAAAATCAAAAACCAATCTCGTTTATTGTTACAGTCTGTATGTACACATAAATCACGGTTCTAATATAAAACACAACACGCAATCTGACATTTTTATGTGTACTAAAGCTTAACACAAAGCACTTTTCTTATAAGGCAGAATATTATGATATATCATGCTATGTCACATTTATGTAACAAATTCTTTACGCAATATGTTATTTACATTTTAAATTTATGCATATGTACACGTATTATGGGAACGTATTATGTTTTAACATTTGTAGTAAAATATATAAATTATTTCACAGATATACATATTCACATTAACTTGCATAACTATTAATGGAATAAATCATCTTTCTTGTTGCTTTATAATGAGCAACTTATATTTAGTAAGGCCCCAATAAAGCAATCATTGGCAAAATAAAATTATGGTCATTCCATAATGCCACATCAATGATCAATAATTAACCACTTGTCCGTAATTTGTTCTATCTGCTTAGTAAGGACTGGATTTCTCAATCGTATTTTAAGTTCTAACTTTCCACCTGTTTGTTTTCTTCCATCCATTAACTACAACCGTGTAAGACTTCTTTAAACATATAACTATTACTTTGAAGCACATCTTTTAATAAACAAGTACAATACTTACAGGAAATGAATCATGAAGTACACACTGAGTTTCCAGGGGCTGTAACTTAAGTGATACTGTACCTAAGAGGCTATCACTTCTAAAGAACCCACTGTAAAAAAAAATATACAATTATGTACAACAATGAATACGTACACATATGTTATGATATAAAAGCCGAAATAGGACAGAATAAAGTATACATTGTCACAGCTTGCTCGTGCAATACAAATACTTGATATATTCAAGTATCTACCAATCTAACCACAATCGATATAAAGATTCACAATAAGTTTGACACAACTTTCTCTTTGTATCATAAATCGGTCAGAATGTAAACACAATTTGTAGAATACATTAGCTAAGTAAAAAAAAGTAAACAAAAACATAAAACCCAACAATTAACGACTCACAATTAATCTGTTTACCAACAGGAGAAAAGATAATAGTATGTTTTTCTAGCACATAATTTAAAAGCTGAGTGCTTTCTCACAATTTCTCTCATTCCACAATTAATCTGTTTACCAACAGGAGAAAAGATAATAGTATGTTTTTCTAGCACATAATTTAAAAGCTGAGTGCTTTCTAGAAGTACGAGTTTCCTACCTTGGATGAGTGCAACACAGGAGAGGATTCATCGAGCATCTGCAAGCAACGTACTAATCTATTTACTATTTTTCATACTACACTATCAATCGTATCTATTTAGTGTCGACAATGCACATTAAAGTATTTATAAACTGTAGATAATATTACTATCACACTTTAAAATTGGACTGCTTTTTAGTAATGTTTTAAAAGTTACGAATTTCATACAAAATCAACCATTGAAATAAAGTTATAAATAAATATTAAAAAACTATACACAACAATCTGTAACGAAACGATACTGTTGTATCATTTCGAAAGTGTTAAGTTATTAATAAGGTTGTAAAAATACCCAGTTATATCATTGTTTTTAATTACCCTTTTGCCCAAACTTGGCATTTCAGTGCATGTCTTTTGAAAGCCCGTTGACACTGCCTTGATCCTCGATCTATTATTCCAATTAATGGAAACACTGCTTGATATTCTGGATTACAAGCTCCTCTAACGGTAGTCGTTCTGTCTGTCGGTGGACTATCTGATGGATAGGGAAATTCGAATATGACGTACGTATCCTCTTTTGAAAAATTCACTCCTCTTATTATAGAAATTTCTACATCATTATCACTTATATCTGTACAACTCCTAAAACGTAAATACCATAATGGTTATACATATATAAGGTTATATTAATTTGTTTTTGCCACAAAATAAAATAATACTGACTGAACTATAGCGTAAGTTTTTGTTTCATAATGATGTTGCGGCGGTGGCAATGCATCACGTTTTCGAACTCTCAGCATATCCAAATCTCGTTTATAACCTAATGCCAGTCGTTCCCATTTATTATATCCAGGTACATCCCCTAATGCTTTTGAATGATCTCTTGTGCATAAGCACCACTACAAAAAATTGCAGAAATATTTGTTACAATTTCAGTTTAAAATACACACATATTATACTTTTATCCTACCTTCATTTGTTTCATTAACTGAGACTCCAGATTTTCATAAATCTCTTCGTCCGTTCCTGTAGCTTCTTCTAAACATTCTTCTCTGGTTATTAGTGTAAAATTATCATCAACTTGGCCAGATGTACTATCTGCACTGAGTTCAAGCTTTGCGGAGGGAGATACAGGTATGGTATTCATATCAACTGGTAATCCAGCTTTACTTGCTTCAACCAGTGGATCTATCCCTTTCGCTTGTCTTAAATAATTTCGTGCCAATTCTAAGTCTCCATCCTTCTTTGCATTAAGAGCAGCTTGTTTTAACTCATACTGACGCTGTTGTAACACCGCCATCTGTTTTTCTGCCCGTGTCATTTTCTGATTTTGTTTTCTTCCTATCAATAAGAAGAGAAACTATATTATCACTGAAACCTTTCGACGATAACTTATATTCTTATATCATTGACAAGTAAATTATGTTAAATAATAATTTGAAAATTTTATTACATACCTATTTGTGTTTTTGCAGGAGATATAGAACTCTTTGGACTTGATGTATTTTCAGGTGGTTCAGAAGGTAGAACAGTTCGCGATGTCGGTTCCGGTTGTGTTTCAGTTCTTTCCGCTTCTGGTGCAGGTGCAGCAGGTTGCGGAGGTACGGAAAGCGGTGAAAAACCAGGCGGAGTGGGCAGTTCATCAAGGGGTATAGGTTTCCCACGAGCATAGAACTTAAGAGCTTCTTCGAACTGTTTACAAATACGACCATATCTTCGTACTTTAGAAGAATTTCCTTCTGTTTCTGCAACTGTCTTTGATCTTCTGTACACTTCAAGGCGTTCTTTTAAAGCAAGTTCTAAATTTTCCAAACCAGCCGGTTTTGCTTCTGCTGTTTAATGAAACATGAAAATATTACAATTATTTTTAATTAATTTACGCATGTACATATATGGAAAGTAAGAGATGTAATACCTTCAGGTTGCGCATCTGGGGCTGCTTGTCCTTGTGTTTCATTTTCAATTTTCTGAGGTTCTGGTATAACAACAGCAGTGTTTGATTCAGGAATACTTGGAGATGGTGGCATATCTGATAAATCAACTGTATCTCCTGCATTTACTGCTGCTATAACTATATCAAACTGTTTTGCTACATTCACACACTGAAGCGCCTCTTTCATATTGCCAGCCCTTTTCCATGATACTGCTGCTACCTTATATTCTTGCTGCCTGCTTCTCAATAACGTTAATGCTTCTTCATCTATCGACTTTGTTGGAACATATTCTGGTACACTATTAATGTCCAGAGATGCTGTCATATCCATTTCAGCTGGAGCAGTAGTGTGCTCTGAAAAACGTACATATAGTGCACAACACTTACACAAACTAAAAAGAATGTTGTAGCTATCTTTCAAACAATACCTGTTGATTCTTCCTTAGGTCTTTCTGGTACTGTTTCTGTGGATTCAGCAACAGCAGATGCCGATAATTCAGGTGGAATGTCAGCTTCATTAATAGGTTTTCCTGACTGAGCATCAGTCAGTAGTTCTTTAAGTGTTTTGATGCCTCTATTAAATCTTCTTGCTCGACCTGGTTCATTTTCCTGTTTTGCTTTCCTCTCAGCCATTTCATAAAGCCTTAACCTTTCTTGTAACAGTCTTATTGTATTCATCATAGACATATCATCTACCATTAATGCAGGTTCATTTATATTTTCTGTTACCGGACTATTGTCCTCTTTTGGTGAACCTTTTCCAGGAGATTCATCGGCTGTGATCATCTTAAGTTCACTCTAATACAATATGAAATTTCTCCCATTAATTTAAATATAACTACTTAACTTACAAAAATGAAGAATATATAATACAATTTATACCAATAATTCTGGATCGTCATCTCCATCAGACAGTTCATCAAGATCTATATCCTTCATACTTTCTGCTACCATTACATCCAAATTTGCATTCGAAATTGGTTTCCGTGGTGCTAAAAGAATGTTGAAAAAACCATGTAACAAATATATATCGTAACTGAACAAATACTGAAACAATTGGTTTACCTTTACGTCTAGATTTTTGACTAATGTCATCGCTAGCTGTCAATGCAGCTAACTCAGCTTCTAAATCATCATCATTATCATCATCTCCCATGAAATTATTGCTTAAGTCTTCCAAACTTTCTGGTACTTCAAAGATCCCATACTTTTGGACAAAACAGCATAATTCGTAAAAATTCAATTGATTAAAAAGTAAGGTTATAAATACGGTGAAATGATACCTGTGCAAGACTGCCAGCAGGTCGTGTCTGACGTTTCGGTTTCTCTTTCTTTCCAAACATATTGTATTATGAAATTTACACTGTCACAAATCAGTTGACAATAAATAAAATATCAAAGATATTCATACGAACACAATACATTACAGGTTTGATGCGTTTCTCGATGCAACGGCGTTCTTATCAATATGCGTCATCAATCGCACAATACAAAGTAGAATGTATATATGTATATATGTATGCATACGTGTAATGCCATTCTACTCTGCACATATGTGTTACGATTAAACTACGAATATTTATGCTAACTTCCATTCACCTAAAATCATATGGATAACAAAAATATACTTTATCTATATTAATCGTTAATACGATAAAAATGCAATTCAGTATCAACTATGTAATTGTTCATATTATCGAAATCTCAACAATTCTGTAAATAGACTCAACATTGCTCACAATTAGTATAACTGTTATCAGCAATTATCAGTCTATTCCACAGACTTCTATATAATACACTAGACTGCGTCACATATATAGAAGTCTATGGTCTATTCAGAAATTACAAATACCTATAATAAATACCCTCAGAAGGCGACACTGATCACAGGAAATTATTCAAAACGATTTTAACTGCCAATTTCGTGATATTGTTGTGTGGTGTCTTACATTAAGTTTCAATCTGATTTGAACATTCTTTATAGTGATTGTATGTAAATAACCATTAATAGTATCAAGATATCTAACGCACGATTTTGTAGCGAAGTAGGAAAAATAATATCTATATAGTAAGAGACGTAAATAGATAATATGGAACCACCAAAAAAGAATCGAATTAGAAGGTAAACATAAAACATTTTATATTTTCTTATCAGTTATTATTTAACATTTGTTGGATACTTCTAGATTACTTAATGCTTCTGTAATGGAACCAGAGAGGCAAAACGCATCAGATGCCATTCGTCAAACCACCGTTCGACACAGGTTAACAATGAATTCATCTGATTTTGTCTTACCACACAGTAAGGAATTTTGCTTGAATTTCTTAATAAAATGAACTTTCAGAATATACAAAATATTTATTACTTCATTAATACAGATCATCTAAGAAATCATGCAACTGATCGATTGTCGATGCTCCCACAGCAATTCATAGAGGAAAGTGCTGATAATGAGGATGTAGATCTGAATCTTCTATACAACGAATATTTACAAAACTTGATGACAGAAATTATTTTAAAGAAAAAAAAGCAGAAGATGGAGAAATTAATTGTATCACAATTGGCAACAATGGCTAAAGAAATTGATCACAATAAGGAAAAGTTATTTGAATTGAAAACTAGAGAGAGAGATATAATACATTTAACTAAGTTACAGAATGAAATAGACTCACAAATTGCAGAAGTAAAAAATTGTACTAGTAAGTAATATTTGTATCATTGAAATAATTTCAGTAGTCATTGCTTTAAAAACCATATTAATTTTTACTTTAATTGAAGAATTTGAGAGTATTAGTAAGCTGAAAGGTATCTTGTCCCAGTTATATACCCTTTTACGAGATCATGATGTACTACGTTGTGATAATGTAATTCTTCCTGAGACACCCAAAGAGTGGGAAGAGACACTGAAAGTACTAAAATCCAGCCGTGATACTTTAAAATCTATTATGGATTTAATTGGTTCAGAGAATGAATCATACCTAGGTGTTAATAATGGTATTAAAGAATTTTTAAACACTTATGAACATATTAAAGATCTTCACAAAAGGTACGAAATTTGATGTGGAAGCTCTTAATAATCAGATTACAGTACTTTCAATTATACATTACTATGTTTTTAGATTGGAGAAAGACATTCTTGAACTACAAGCATACGCACTGAAAACTGCAGCGTTGTCTTTAATGTCAAGTAACAAGACTGAGAATTAAACAACACGCGACTATTAGATTAAATATCACAGCATTGAGTAATTCTTAAATATGATTCTGAATCTATAACTTAGTGTTTGAAATAACATCAATACTCTACATGCAATGTGTTTAACACAATTAGGTATATGTACATATTTCTTACTAATTTTTATACAAAAAATGCCCATTTAATTGTATGCTGTTTATTACAATTGCACATTTCAAATAAAATTCAGTTAACAAATTTAGTAACAATATTACGATTCTCCTATACAGACGCGAGAATATGTCGCATAATGATAATTCCAGTTGCCATATTTTGAAAATGAATACGACTGTAACTGAATATGTAATTACGACCGTTGCGATAGAATCAATATCACACTTATTGTGTCCAAACGTAGGACGACAAATGTTTTTAGGGTCAAAGTGGGTCAAAGAGACATTTTCATTATTCTCAAACGGTACTTTCGCGTGGAAATGCATAACAAAGGATATTATTGGATATTATTTACAAATTACGATGGCAAAGTTTGTGGAGGCGTGACTTAGATTTTGGCCCTCTGGTGGTAAGATGAAGAACTACTGACAGTAGTTCCGGTAGGTCCGGTACAGTCCGGTAGGTCCTTCAAGTTTTATATGTACCCTCACGAGCAAACTCGGCTTCCGCTAGGGGAAAAAATGATGTAAGGGAAAGACCTCCTACCACAGACTTCTATATAATACACGTGTATTATATAGAAGTCTGTGCCTCCTACCACTTGGTCTCGGAGTTATTGAAACTTATGCGAAATTAACATTCGGTTGGACATTTATTTCAGTATTTGTAGTAAATTTACCAAGCAGTTGGAGGCCCTAACCCCTACATTGCTTTTTCCCCTAGTGGAAGCCGAGTTTGCTCGCGGGTGTACATATATGTGTAGTAATTAATGAAAGAGTTGGTTTTCAATAATTCAAAACATGTTTGTAATATTAATCTTGATAAATAAATTAAAGAATCGAATTTAAATGAAGAATTACAGAAATTTCAAATGTTTGATATAGTCATTCGAGATTAATAAGCTGCCAACTGGAGTTAAATGCCACATTTCCTTGAACTGTGGTGAACCTCACCAAATAAAAACATCGATGTATCGATACAACTGCTATCGACCAATTACTACGGATGTTAATCGATATATCGTTACCATCCTCAGTCATATGATCGTCACGGAAAGGGCGAGTCCGACTTCGATTTTGACGGATCTGTGTTTCGTGTGGTATTCTTAGTTGTTAAATTGTAACAAACGATCCGCCAAAATGAAGGGTTGTATGTTCAATATCGACGGAGGATACTTAGAAGGATTATGTCGTGGTTTTAAATGTGGAATACTTCAGCAGAGTGACTACCTTAATCTTGTACAGTGTGAAACACTTGAAGGTACATTTCACTCGACGATTACGTTTCAGTTCTGGTACAAGTATGTATTTGAAAACCTAATCGTTCTTCTCTGTTTATTTAAACAGATTTAAAATTGCATTTGGCGGGTACAGATTATGGCAGTTTCTTGGCTAATGAACCATCACCACTGTCCGTTAGTGTAATTGATGACAAATTGAGGGAAAAGCTTGTTGTAGAATTCCAACACATGCGAAATCATTCTGTCGAACCATTGTCACAATTTTTAGATTTTATTACCTACAGTTACATGATTGATAATATCATTCTATTGATCACTGGTACTTTACATCAAAGACCAATTTCTGAGCTGATCCCTAAATGTCATCCCCTTGGAAGTTTTGAACAAATGGAAGCCATTCACGTAGCGGCTACACCTGCAAGGTATGATCCAAGGATATGATTTATCCTTAAATTATTTTGAATAGAATGTGAAACATATTGTAGTCTGTATTTTGTAACATCAAAAATTTGTTTGTAGCCCCTTTTTTCGTGGATTGTATTTCTGAGCAAGATTTGGATGAAATGAACATTGAAATAATTAGAAATACTCTGTATAAAGCTTACTTGGAAGCATTCTACAAGTTCTGTAAAAAAATTGGTGGAACAACTGCAGACACTATGTGTGAAATAATTGCGGTAAAAGATCTAAACAGTTAAAACATTTTGTATAATTTTAAAGAAAATGCATTGAATGTAAATTGTATTTATAGTTTGAAGCAGATAGGCGAGCCATTATTATAACTATCAATTCATTTGGAACTGAGCTAGGTAAAGATGATAGAGCAAAATTATATCCACGCTGTGGAAAATTAAATCCTGATGGATTGGCAGCATTGGCAAGAGCCGATGATTATGAACAGGTTAAAGCTGTGGCAGAGTATTATGCTGTATGTACATGTTAAAAGTATACTTTCTCAGAAGATAATAATCATATGTACATATGTAAAAATATATTTGACCTTTTGCAGGAGTACAGTGCTCTGTTTGAAGGTGCTGGAAACAATCCTGGTGATAAGACGTTAGAAGATAAGTTTTTTGAACATGAGGTAAATTAAATATTGGTATAAAATATATTTATTGGTATAAATAAAAAACATTGTTGATATTACTAATGCCTTCATTATAGGTTCGCCTAAACGTTCATGCCTTTCTTCAACAATTTCACTTTGGAGTATTTTACAGTTACCTTAAGTTGAAGGAACAAGAATGTCGCAATATTGTATGGATAGCAGAATGTGTTGCACAAAAGCACAGAGCTAAAATAGATAACTACATTCCAATCTTTTAATGTATCCTAATATTTCATTGCGCTGATTATTTGTCCAACTATACAACAATATCATGTAGAAATATGACTTTTTCTCCTTTTTATCTCTCAATCATAAAAAAATCAAGAATTCTACACAGTATTTCTGATTGTCAAGAGGGGGAAACTGCCAAATATATGCAGAATATAAATATTTAATTCATAATTAAATAAAAAAAGGCAACTGTACGTTTAGCCAAATTAAGAAAATCATATTAAAAATTATTGTTTAGCACTGTTATTGTCATGTATAACAAGAGTTTATATCATATAGATGTATATAATGTATTTTATTGTAGACCAGTATATTTGTTGTTCTTGTATTACCCAACGTTGTAATTATTAATCCCGCTGTAATATAAAACGATATACAATACATTCCATAAAATTGAAACACACGATCTAAACGATGTCTTACACTGAGCATAGTTCATTATATTAATCACATTAAAAAATAACAAATTTTATGTGCATGAAATTATTCAATAATTAGACAGACAACAATTTTTTACCACGACCTCGCTCTATCACGATTGGAGAATTTACGGTAAATCTCTTTGTCTTGTTGAATCCCTGTTATTAATTCAGCAGTAAGTGTGCCAAATTGTAAAGTTCTCAAATTTTCTCTTGTCCATTTTTTTTATATGCAAGTTACTTTGTTGTTTTTAAATAGTACTACGATGTTCCTACTACATGATATTATTATTTAATAGAATTTGATTATTCTGTCTATATCTGTAGAAGAAAGTGCTGATGTGAAGATATTGTCAAAGAAGTAATGTTAAATATGCTTTAGCAGTGATGAAGAGGGAAAAAACTAACTCGCGTTAAGATAAAAGTATAACAGTTTATGATATTTGTCTAATTATACAATTTTCTTAATAAATACAATATCATCGATCATTATAAAACAAAATAGTTTGTTTTTGTTGGCTTTTGGAACATAATACCCCTTTTTATATTGACGTTTATCCCATACAGCAATGTGGATAATTCGAGGATTATCTATACATTTTTATAGCCTTTTATGTTTTAAACAATAAACTCACAAAATTAATTTATAAAATAAATCTTAATACAATATACCTTATGTAATGAACAAAAAAGACAAAGCTCTGAAAAGTGCTCACAATACTTAAAATTTTAAAAACAAAGTATTTTGTACCGACTACATTATTTGAATAAAGTAATCATTATTAAATTTATGAACACATACATGCGAAATTATAAGATTTTATAATATAAATAATTTTAAAATTTATAATTTTTAACTACAGAAAATGAATATAACGTTTCATAATGTATGAAATGTATTTAACATTTGTGTTGTTTATACTTATGAACAAGATTCTGTAGAAAACTCTTGATACATTCATTCTAGAGCAGCCTTTAAATTTATAAACAATTTAATATTGTTCAATGTACTTTCTTACTATTAGAAAATACAATATTTTAATTCAATGAGTTTTAAAATATAAAAAATCCTAACGAAAAATGTTTGTCAAATATATTTATACATGTTTTTTTTAAAAACATTTCTAACATACATACATTTACACGTATGTATATGAAAATACGTGTACATTTACAAATATATTATTTATTGTATGAAAATATAAAATATCAAACTATAATAATTAGTAGCTCAACTTTAAATTCTTCCTCCAACAATTAGTGTTTTATAATATCACTACTGTAGTAAAATAAAATTGAAAATATTTTCCAGTCACTGAAAATAAACTTTTGTTATTTTCCGTTAGGATATTTTTCAAATTTATTATATAAAAATAAAATACTGTTTATTTCCTACAAATTCGTTCACTTTCACATTGCATTTTTTCACCATCCGATTCTCGATTTCTCACAGGCTGTGCTTCTTCATTCATAGAATTTGTATTAACACCTGGAGGCGGTGGTGGTACATTATTTACATGTTTTATGTTTGTATTATTAGCTGGATTTGCAGGTTGGAAAGTTGCTAAACTTTTTAATCCAATTACTTCTGGATTTTCTTTCCAAAATCGATCTGAAATTATGTCATCCACCAATGGGACCACTACTGGCTTCAATCGACCTGTACCATCTGGTACTAGTTTCCTTATAAGTGTAGTACCTTTTCGGAAAAGTGGAGGTTCATTGTTATAATTTATACCGAATTCTTGAAACAATAATTCATTTTTATGTGATGCCAATGTACCCCTAAGTTTTACTTCTGCCTAAAAGTTATATGAAACAAATAAATACAAATACTATTTTGTGAAAACAGTATTTAAAACTGTATACTTCTTTCTTGTTTATATATAGCTTATAAATATACTATAAAAACTAAAGAATCTAAGATTACCTGATTAGGAGTAAGTTTTCCTTTTAATATGAGATTCCAAAAACAAGTATTATACAAGTTATTCACATGAACATCTACTTGTCGCCAAGCTAAATAATCCCTAAGATTTTTATCTGTTGGGTATAATACAACACGACCATCAAAAGAAGGTGGGTAATATAATTCTTTGCCTCTGAAGTAGCGAGGCCAGTGATAAACATATGCTGATGTAAAAAGTGAATTCACATTTGACATTATTTTATAGGCTGAAACATAATGAAATATAGTATTTTAAGAAAGATCATAATAATATTATAAATTATTGTGTTATATAGAGTGCCTCTAATATATATATATATTTAGGACACCCTATACAATGAACTGATACAGCAGTACATTCAGTTTCAATTCGGTGTATACTTTATTTTCACGTTATTTATATTCTCCTTTGAAGTGTATCATGTTACAAACAATTTTCGGATCTGTACATACCTCTCCTTTTGTAAATTTCCGTGTCTTTTCGAAGGACGAAGGAATATTCATCGCTTTGACCGAAACCTAGAATGATTTCTTTGAATTCTTCCATAACCGTAATAGCTGCCCGATTCATTAATTCCAAGGCAGCTACGTCGTTCGGTTTGGTAAATTGATGGGCATCGCAGAACTTTGAAAAATTTCTTCCATCTATTCGAACCACGATCCAACAATTCGGCAAGCAACAATCCTCACGTTCGAATTCCTTCACATATTCAAATTTACTCTTGGCCATTGTTGTTAAGCTTATGTGTCGGCTTATGACCACTTGTTTGACTAAGCTAATGATTTTCAGGAGGTTACTTCCCTTCATTCGTTTGTAATGTCAGAAAATACGTTTTCTGAAACTGGGGCGAGTACTGAAGTCCCTCCGTAACTGAAGTTCTTTTTAGTTTAAGATGTATGAGCCTTGCTTTTGAAACGGAATCCTGTATTCTGATCCTATTGTATGTAAAACCTTTCGTCGTACAATAAAGAAACTTGCATATATTTATATTTTGGAGCACCCACGTGTATTTTTATTGGTTATGTACATTCATGTTGTTATTATATGTAATAACTAATAACATACGAGTAAAATGGAAGGTGATAGTATTTTTTTAATAAAAATTATATTTTATGTTAAAAGAAAAATTTTAATTTTTTCTAGTGACACACACTTTAAAACATCATCAACATATTTTCTCTGAAGGACGATACATATAACCTCGCATGTAAACAGAAATGTTCTTCTAGAATAAATACGTTGATAATACAAGTAAATTTCAATTCGAAGCTCAGTCAGTGTCTAGTGTGACAAAATGGACTTACATAAACGGTACGTGAATTTTCCGGTAACAGATTTGTCAATATTGGAATTATTAGACACTACATTTAAGGATGAGCCATTCTCGTTACTACATCGTTTAATTCGACATTACACCATAGAAGTAAGTAAGAATAATTTGGATATAAAGAAACTGAAAACGCTTCGCACAATATTATGCTACGAATATAAACTTTTATTTAACTCTGAAAAGAAATATGCAAGAAGAGTGCCAGAAGAATTATGTTTCAAGAGAATACAGAATGTTATATGTATGAAGAAAGAATTTCAGGATTCCACAGATTCATCAGTTTTATATGATATTACAGTTTTATGTACAACACTTTTCTGTGATTTGCCATGCATTGAACAACATTTACTGAACTTCCAAAAATCAAATGCTAATCTTTTGACGGGTAGTGAGAATGGAGTATTTTATATGAAAGTAATAGAATGCTTTTTAGAAACTTTACATTTAAGACTGTACCTAAGTAATAATACAGAAATGCATTTATTGGAACACTTTAGTCTATATTATTTAAAGGATGTAAAACGATGGCTAGAAATGACAGACAATAAAAAATGGCAATCATTTGCTTCAATATTTCCAAAATTAATAAATACCTTTGGACATGAAAATGTGTTGCTTCCTATATGGGATTATATTTTAAATAAAATGGTTGATATGAAAGACATACTTTGTGCACTGAGTATTATGATTGATACATGTTTCTCAGAAAATGATAAAGATACAAGCTTGATGCACCAGAAATTATGTTATATGGACAAGTTATGGTTAGTAATACTAGAAAGCTTAAAATCTTCTATGCAACAGTATCGTAAGCAAGGATTATTTCTAATGAAACGAATGATAAATTTCATATACACTTTAGATAAAAGTACCATAGAACTAAGCGATGCTACAGTTGTTCCTTTTATGTGTAAACAATCAATCAAAACAGAGATATCAATAAATGATATTAGACAAAAATATTTTTTAGTGCTAGATGCATTGGAAGAAAAGCAGTATCACCTAGTTGCACCAGCTTTAACACATGTACCAAATTTAGTAAAAGGAAGCAAACAGCACATATTGTGCAATAACTGTTTTAGTAATATTTGGTTGATGCTAATTTTTGAAAGGGTATTGAAGCATGAAAACAATGCCATAGTAAAACAAGGAATAGTTTATGTTTATGAATGCCATGCAGTTTTACATGATTATAAGTTTTTAAAATTGTTTATACAAGTTTTAAATAATACATTTTTATATGAATGTCAAGTGTATCAAAAAGAACCGGCAATACTAAATGACATCATAACACTGTTTGTACGTATGAGAGAAGAAACAGCTGAATTTATTACTAAACTTCTTAAAGTAATAAGTGAACAAACATGGGCTCCTATTCCGCTATTTTATATGATGTTAATTTTAAGAGTAGTTTCTAGTAAAACTTCCAATTCCTGGGAAAAAAGTGACTTTGTTGTAGTTAAGTCTTTGATACAGAAGAATTTATATGCGCATTCTCGCATTTTACGAGTTGCATCACAAATTGAACTTTTACGGACAATTTCATTGTCTGTAGCAAAAATACATAATTTAAAGATTGTAGCAGATATGTTATTAGAGTTTCCTTATGAAGAAGCTCTTGTAAGAGGATCATTTTCATGGAATATTATAACGGAATGTCTAAAGAAGGCATTAACAGGAACAGAAGCATTAAATTTTATTAAATATTTATGTGAAGAGCATTTGCTACACAATGCACATTTAAAACTGGATTCTGCAAAGCTTGCTCTTATAATTTTTATGCTACAAGATGCTGAGTTAATACTGCGAAAAAAATCTTGTCCTGCAGAAGAAGTACTAAAAGGCTGGCTATTATCACTGAAAAGCTGTGATATGAGACCTTATGCAAATGTTGCGCATATTCTTTATATTATAGACGTAATGTCACATTTACTTAATTTAAGTGTAACAGGAAGCAAAAAGGTCAGACTTTTGTTGGCTGCATATATTGATAGCGCTTTAAAGTTTCTACTTAAGAATAGTAAAAGCATACCATCCAGTTTCGGCTATGAAGAAGTAAACAGATATATGACTACAATTGTTTCGTTTCTTAAAAATGGAAATTTAATTCTATCAAAAACAGAAATTTTGAATTATGCTGAGAAATTTAAATTCGAAAGTATTACAATTCTACAGAATATAGAACAGTATTCAAATATGCACTTCATGTTTGCACTACATGTTTTACATTATACTCAAAGCATTTTGACTACAGATGCTACAACGTTTTATATACAACCTTTACAAAATACTTGTCGTACTTATATACCAGTTAATGATGAAGATCAAATGGACTTTAAGGGAAAAGTAGCATCAGATTGTTACTTACTATTGGCAAAACTTACAAGTCAATTTCTATCAAAAGCAAAAGTTGAATCATGGCCAGAAAGTGTTGATTGGTTTAAAAATATTTCATATATCTATGAAATGGGAGGAAATGAAATTATTCCAGAAATAGCACTGACATTAAAAATAATTATTGATAAGGGAGGAATCAATAACTCCGAAAATATATTGAATTTGGAAACTATTTTTACCATATGCTGGAAATCAACGTTATTAAGTTCAAAGAATAAACTATACTTTTTAGCAATAAAAAACCTTCTTGGAGTTATTATAAACAGCAACTTTTTGGTACTTCCGAACGCTACAAACCTTCTGAATCACGTAAGATAATAAAGTACTGTTTTACAAAAATGAACTATTGTTTACACATAGTAATTACTTTACTAATTTTTAGTTTCTTGAAGAATTACTTGATGAAGGTGAGAAAGTACCAAAATTAAAGAAAATTTTATTAAATGAAATGCAATTATTAAATGCATGCTGCTTAAGGAACTTACAAGAGCCATTATTTTTATGTCTCCTTCATGGATATGCTCTTCGTAGGGACAAACAAATAGAAAATCAAGCATGTTTATATATTGCAAAAAATTATGAAGAATGTTATCCACAACACATATCAGTAATGTAAGTAATTTGATATTTTATTGCATTAATCTCAATTATAATTTCTTATTAATCATAAGTGATTTTATTAATAGAGATCATAATAGTGATGCTAGTATCAGAGCAGTTTCTTTTCTACTGTTACACAAAATAATTACTGCAGATGTAGAATTCGCCTCAGCCTTTCTTTCACTTGTTTTACAAAAGTTAGAGGAGTACAAAAATAAAAGATATTTTAATCATTCTTATATACATAAAATAAAGCATCGACTTATGCAAACTTTACTAATATTGCAACCAATTTTGAAGGAGGTAATAAGATACTATATAATTAACCAAATTATAAGTGAGTATTAAATAAAACATAAATTTCTTCTAGGCAGACACAAATACATTAGTGGACTTTCTTTGTAGCCTAATAATTTTGGAAAGTAACCAACATAGTGTACGATTAATGCAAGAATGGTTACTGATCAAAATATTTCTAGAGAATACAAATCTTGAACCTAAACTTTGGGCCTTTTTCGAAGAGGTACTTCAAGATATTTATTAGTCTCTAGTTATTCAGGATCAATATATATATATATTAAACTTAATTCAAATATTTGTACAGGGTATTAGAACACGTCCAGGATGTGTCAATTCAATAGTATCTATAGTTTATCATATTTCAAAGTCACTTTGTCGTATTGATCAACGTGCTTTCATTCCAATGGGAATTCCATATATTGCACGCTGTTGTATAGGACAGCAATACAATGTGCGTCTTTATAATCAGGTAAAATATACAATGTCGTATAAGTTATTATGATGAATACTACACAACAGTTGCATATGATCATTGGTATGTACATAAATGTGCTGTATTAATATTTACATTTAACATAGGTGATTTTTATGCAACTATACGAAACGTTAGAAAACCTAAACTGTGATGATATTACAAATGAATACAGAGGATTATACAAAGCTGTATTGGAAAGTTTTAAAGAAGGTAATGCAAAAAAAAATGTAAATAGAATTCAGAACGACTTTTATTTTTGCACTTTTGATGCTTTGCAAGACTACAGTCTGCAGGTAACGTTATTAAAGTTCGGATTATTGATATTTAAGAAATACTGAGAAATATAAATGACATCGCTATTTTCTTCTTTGTACAGACAATTTACTTTGAACTGCCCCGATTAACTGATATGGATCCAAGTGAGTGGATTAGTCCAGATGTGTTTAAAGCGCTAAATTTTAAAGAATCTAGTAATCATCCTCTTTCATTGCATAACGTAAATTCATTATTATCAGAAAAAACATCAAACTTAATGAAATCTACAGGTATATTTTAATAATCGTAGTATGCATATATAATATACAGAGTATGTTATGGTACAACGAATTATGGAGGTGATTCTGATAAAGTGAATAGAAAATGTAGAGTAAAATTTTTTTTTCTTATTTGTAATACATAGTATGGAGCACTCTGTATATTCATGTTTTATGAACAATAGGATATTAAACTATGTAACATTTCCAAATGCAGCTGATTCAGAATCTTCTGGAAAAGGTTTTGAAGTGAAACTCGAAGAATTAAGTAATATACAGAAAAAAATTATCCCGGCAGTATCTGTAAAATTATCACCTAATGACATTTTCTCAACAATCAGGGAATCTATTTCCTATAAAAGAGTATTATCAGACGAAGAAGGTATTATAGTTGTAGCATGTCTCATCGATCGTATTCCAAATTTGGGAGGACTTGCTCGTACTTGTGAGATTTTTAATGTGAAAGAACTAGTGCTAGCCAATTTGAACCAAATCAAAGACAAAGAATTTCAGAATCTCAGTGTATCAGCTGAACACTGGATAACTATAACGGAGGTATTGTTTCATACATTTTTATGGTATGTAAAATATTAGGTGTTAGAGAAAGTTTCCTAAATCCTTTATAGCATTTCGTTTACTGATATAACATGTTCAGTCTGAGTTATGTAAATCTGAATATTTTCTACAACCTTATGCCATCTCTTTGGTAATTCACACTCTAAGAACTTTCTTTAGCACTTAATATAGAAACTATTAGCAATTTAGTTTTTTGTAAGTTTCTGAGTATTTTAGATAAAACCTCATCAACTAAGTAAATACCTTTTGGAAAAAAAGGACATGGGATGGTCGTTAGTGGGTGTCGAACAAACAGCTAATAGTAAAAGTTTATTAAATATGAAATTTAAAAAGAAGTCAATTCTTGTTTTAGGGTAAGTAAATAAAAAGTTCAATATCCCTTATCATAGTACTCTATACAAATTCTATTTTCAGAAATGAGAAGGATGGAATCCCTGCTAATTTGATACCTTTGTTTGATACTTGTATAGAAATACCTCAGGTTGGTGTGATACGTTCATTAAATGTTCATGTTAGTGGAGCTATATGTATATGGCAGTATGCAATACAACATATATTCTATTTATAAACAGACACTTATAACTGTAATTATTTGTCTATTTTTATAAATTGTATAATTGTATCGTGAAATATTAATGAAAACACGGATATGAATGATGTAAAAATTAATAAAACTGACATGAGAAAATGTCTTAACAAAATGATGTTTATTGATAAAACTTAAATTTCCTTTATGAGTTTATATTTGTATTTATGTTTATGTTGCCTATCATTTATACAGAGATTATGTCTATATGAATATAATACAATACATGTTTAAACATTGTATCCTACAATGTGTCGCTTTCCAATACATTCACCGACAAAGAACCAACATACGACTTCAATAGTAACTAAAGTATTCAGCCAGGCTTCGCGTACAGTAACTTCTCGGTATCGTCCAGTTTTAGCAGAGTTTATCAGGTTCTTAATGCCACTTTTTATAGCAGGAATATCAGATACCTTTGGTGGTACCAATTCTACCTTTCCATAATACTTGAATTTTTGGAGAAGGGGTTTTGATGCTACTGCAGCAGCTGCAATGAACACAGAATCATAAGTAATATTTGATATCCTTCATCTAAAATGATTATACGGATAATTGATTAATGATTATTTTATAATGTACTAGTTTTACATAACTTTCCAAATATAAAAAAAAATACGTCTAATAGATAATACGTCTATAAATTACTTACTTCATTTACAAATAGGAATTTTTAAATCCAATTATAAGAATTAGATTTGGAGTTAAAAATTTAATTAAATGTTGCTACAAATGAGGTAGATATTGATGTTATATAACGATCTATTATGACTAAATTGTGATTCATGTAATATTGTAAAAGACAAAGAAAATCAAAGAAAAGCTCGCTAATAAAATGTTTAAAAAATTATGAACGTACATTTGCACAGCTGTATTGTCTTTGTAACTGCTGCCATTTTCGGTTCTTAAAACTCAAACCTTTCTGAGTGAAACTTGGCTGCGAAGAACAACCTTCCGGTGTCTTGCAGCATCAGCCTTTCATAAATGAAAATTCTCCATCTAGTGCAGACTTTTCGAATTACATTATATATTATCATCTCTGTAGGTACTACAGTGTAGAGGCTCTGGACACAGACGAGATATAGAAGTAGACATTGCATTCAATGTATTTTTACGGCTCACTTTTCTGAAGTTACGTACCCCATTTCTGTGGTCATTTCCATTTTAGTGTCACTACTCACCGCAAATTCACCGTTCTCAAAACCTAGATGTCGCTAAAATCACCGACTAGGTATACGATAGACCTATCATCTTATGGGACTTCGTGTCTCATGTTCTGAAATACCGTAATGTAAAAAGTCAGGGATTATCTGCTGCCCTCTACATTATGAAGACGGTGAATTTGCGAACTACGTTAACAGTGTTACGAGCGTCTACAATGTTGTCGAGTCTAAAGTACGCAATGTTGTCAGATCATGAGTGTTCGGTACGTCGGAAAATCATCGAAGGGACCTTGGTCGTGAACGGATTCTCTTCCGTCCGTTCGCTGTAAAGTAGACGTATTGTGTAGAAAGGAGTCTTGGGTTCCAGTCCCGACGGACCTATTGGTTTTTATCGCGTACAGAAAGTTATTGCGTTTAATATTGTTTTCATGAATATGTATATGTATTATTATGTACATTTGAGTAAATTATTTTATTATTCCATTGTTATTAGAACAGTTTAACAGTGATAACTAGAGATGGCGAAGAACGATCACGGTCGTGATTTAACTACATTTACGACCGTGATTGCGATTCTTTTATCTTGAGTAAATTTGCTTACTGTGATCGTAAATTCTTAATCTTTAAACAAAAAAATGTATTCAATATGTTTTACGATGAATTACATTACTATTCGTATTTGTAAAAATCAGTAGAAAAAACCAGAAATTCTAAATGAATGATTTGCTAGGTAACATGTAGATTATAATTTATAATCATTAATTTATTCATTATTCTTCATTGTTTCTAAGTATTCCTTCACTGTATACGGCATGCAACGGGGGTTCTATGACCATACGTTCTCACCACACGGGGTCTCTGGAGCCACCTCCGGGGGATTTTGCGACCCCACGCTCTCACCATACGGGTCACACGAGCCTTCTCCGGGGATTCTGTGACCACAACGTTTTCCCGCCATCTTGAATTCAGAAAAGTGCCGGCAAAATGTAGAATTTATGGGACATTTAGTGGCGCCGCCACTACTTTGGTGTCGGAAATTGGAACTAATTTAAAACTTTAAACAGTGCCATCTGGTGGCGCCTCTGAGAACTATCGAAGAAGTTCTTAAATAAGTTCCAATTTTTGCCACCAAAGTGGTGCGGGCGCCACTGTATGCCCCCTAAATTCCCCATTTTTCCCGCGCTTTTTGAAAAATCCAAGATGACGGAAAAACCTACACATTTGTGGCACCACCGACTAGGTATAGAATAGACCTATCATCCAATGCTTTTTTCTGTCCCACGTTCATAGGGCTACGTAGCTCTGTTACCATTTTAGTATCAATACCCGACGTTACCGATAAAGCATGAATTCCGAGTATTATTAGCAAAAATGAAGTGTTATATATTCCATTCATATTACGTGTATCTATATGATTTCACGAGAATAAAAATATCCGATGCTTCAGTTTAAGGTTAAGGGATAAATATGACAGTCATGAAACATGAAACGGAAAAGTATATATTTTTTCACTTAACTACAAGACAATTTATTCTAAATGCATCGTTAATGGACATTTTACTAATGTTACTTTTTACATGTTCTTGTTTTATTCGTTTTTATATCTTGCTTTACATTTGTATATTTGTAACAGATAAATTCAGAATAGATGTAGTTTCATAAATAATTTATTAAATCTACCTTTTGGCCGGCGGCTTACAATTTCCCTTGCGGGAATGCCTTACCGTAATGAGCCATCTCGTAGCCGTGGGATTCCGGGAATCGGGTGACGTCAAATTATTCCAGTTATGTATGCAAGATACAATGTTACAAATATACAAATCTAAGGCAAGATATAAAAACGAATAAAACAAGAACATGTAAAAAGTAACATTAATAAAATGTCCATTAACGATGCATTTAGAATAAATTGTCTTGTAGTTAAGTGAAAAAATATATACTTTTCTGTTTCATGTTTCATGTCTGTCATATTTATCCCTTAACCTTAAACTGAAGCATCGGATATTTTTATTCCCGTCAAATCATATAGATACACGCAATATGAATGGAATATATAACACTTCATTTGTGCTAATAATACTCAGAATTCATGCTTTATCGGTAACGTCAGGTATTGACACTAAAATGGTAAGGGGGCTTCTGACGCCCTCGAAGCATGGGACAGAAAATTACATTGCATGTTAGGTCTATTCATATATCTCGTCAGTGCTAAAATCATTGGCTTTTCAAGGTGTCGGTACTACAGTTTAGGTGGACCTCCAACTTCCATAAAATGAAAGAACTATTCTTATACCTTGTCAGTGCTCTCAGTTTATAAAATTCTATGGCCGCAGACTAGATGTACATAGCTTGTTGAGACGGAAATTGGGGAAATTAATAACAACTCCGCTCCTATTTATGTGTCTTCAGAAATGCAACTCTTCTTTATGTTTTACAAACTTATTTATTAACAACTCAATTCAACTTTATGTAAAATAATTGTAATTAAAGAATGAAAATGTAACTTGTAACAAAAGGAACTAGAATACAATTTTAAAAATTAACATAATAATTTACATCTAAGTCATCTAGCGAATCTATTCGCTTCAACTTCCGAAATATATTTATATATCCGAAAATAGTTGAAATAGCAATGAACATTGCTACCAGTACATTCAACGATGGTGCAGTCGCATATATGCAAATGTTACATCTTTCGGGGTGTAAAATTAAGTTCAATGTGTATAATTATTGTGGAAAAGAGAACGCCAACGGAGTAAACAAGCTGACTTCAGACGACTCATCAGTGCTCATTTTTAATTTATTCAAACGGGAATGATCTGTCTACGTTCACACTAACTATAACAGCACTTTTCAGTGCTCACTTTTCAATTCAAATGGAAAGTACCTTTCCGTATTCGTAATAAACCAAACGGAACTTTTTAGTGCCACATTCTTAAAAAAATTAACGAAAAATATTCATTCTCTATTTTGAATATTTAATCCCATGTTTTTCTGTTCACAGCCTTCGAACCAACTAGTAATCATTACTACAATTTCATATATGTATATATTCAAATATATCTGGGAATGGATGAAAATAAAGAAAGAGCATGTGACTGGGATGATGTCTCAAGAATGTCAGATGACAACATTTGGGAAATCGTCGTATAAATAATATATATAGCCTACATATGTATTATCACCGACTATACCTAGTCGGTGGTATTATTTTGTAAAAATTGTAAACATCATTGAATTCATATGGTAAGTAAATATTTTCGAGAAATTTAAAAAATATTTAATTGCTAAAACCCGCTAGATTATACCGTAAGACTACTCTATTAATCTGTAGCAATCTGTGGTGACATTATGCACACGGCCTGCTGGGTTTATGATAGCTTCTATTGCAGACTGCTCTGTTCACGGCAGTAAATCTGCTGTTACGTTCTACAGCAGAATTACTGTGTTTATGCTGTGAATCTGTTGTTACGATCTACAGCAGAGTTACTGTGTTTCTGCCGCGAATCTGACGTTACGTTCTACAGCAGATTTACTGGTCTCATGCCGTGACTCTGACGGCATATACATGTATGAAGCAGCGACAGATACATACGATTCTGAGGTCATGCCTGACCGACTATGACACCAGATGCCGTGCATCTGATGTTAGTTTGCTCATAGGGTATAGTTTGTAGAAACGGATAGAACTCAAGATAATATCTAAATTTCTGACATTACTAACAAACTATTGTTGCAAATCACCACCCAGAAAACTCTTGCATGCTTTTATACATATTTAGACTTATATATATATAAATAGTCGTTAAGTGCCGAAGTGAGGTAAACAAGTGTTTTGACCAGCCGTTGTATTATACATGTATAAAATCACAGCCTAATTGTAACAAAGTCAATCAAAATTTTATTTGAAAATAGTTTTTTAAATTTTGTGTGGCATTCAGTAATAACATTTAGCCAATCACTAAGAAGCTGCGAAAATTTCACACTTTAGCATAGTGATCTACCTGTCATTGGCTGATGTATCTAATATGTCGCCAAAATTGTGCATAAAAAAATTTTGGTGGTAACAATCGTATCACGACTAATCATAAATAGCACTGAATTTTATAATGCTAATAGTAGTTACAATGTCTACCTAATTCGAAGGAGTTGTTTTAAAGATTTACGAATAGATATTGAAAGATGTTTATTGTGGGTTTGACAGGTGGAATAGCTACTGGAAAAAGTAGTGTTGCCTCTATTTTTCGTGAATACGGCATACCTGTCATAGATGCTGATCAAATTGCACGAAAAGGTTAGAAATAAAATAAAAAATTTATTCTTTACTTGTCATCACAACATAGCATTTCTACATTTGATGAAGTTGGTGTATCATACAATGATTTCAGAATTTTTCAGCTAATTTATTTAGAGAGTCAATTCTTAATATTATTTTTTTTGTAAATAGAAATATAAATACAATTTCTACTTAATTACTCTGTAAATTTTTATGTTGCAGTTGTAGAACCAGGGAAACCAGCATGGCACAAAATACAAAAAGAATTTGGTACAGAAGTATTCTTAGAGACAGAGGAACTTGATAGGGCTAAGCTTGGTGATTTAATATTTAATGATGTAGAAAAGAGAAAAAAGTTAAATGCTATAACGCACCCAGATATATATAAAGAACTATATTGGCAAACGTTTAAATATGTTTTACAAGGTCATCGATTTATACTCATGGATTTGCCATTACTATTTGAAACAGGACACATGTTGAATTATTTGCATAAAATAATTGTTGTAACTTGGTAAAGATTCTTAATAAAATTCTGGGTAATAGTTTACAACTTAGTTTGTATCTCCAATTTTCTTCAAACTTTAATATGTTGACAGGGGTTCTCTAAACAGGCAAAATATCATTTTAAAAAATGTCGCAAACAATTATAATTAATTATTATTAATGGTTCGAAAAGTATTTTTTTGTTATTAGACTAGCTCTAACCAACTCTGATTAGTATAATGCTTTGAAAATAAACATTAAACCTCATTTTTACTGTTTACAACTTATGTTCTTTCACTTAATCTGTATTTTTAGAGACCCCCTTTCAACATATTAAAGTTTGAAGAAAATCGGAGATACCGACCGAATTGTAAACTAATACCAAATTCTGAATCTGAAAAATTTCTTAAACAATCTGTTCTGCTTGATTCTAGTGAGGAAGATTTGCAATTACAACGACTTATAGAAAGAACAGGTTTCACTGAAGCCAAAGCAAAACTGAGAATTGCTGCCCAAATGTCCTTAGAAAAGAAAGCAGAAATGGCAAATTTTGTTATTGAAAATTCTGGTAGCGAACGTGATACTAGAGAACAAACTATTAAAGTCATTAATGTCTTAAGGTCTTCCAATTATCATTGGAAATTGCGTTTTTTAGTTGGATTTTGTTGTACTGTTTTATTAGGAGGTGTGTACTGGTTAAGAAACAGGAATTTTCGTTCTTTACCAACTGCAGCATAAATACAAACATTTATACAAAGTAAATATTAATTTATCTTGGGGTATGATGTATTGCATTTACCAAAATTTACAAATTGAACTATATGCATAAATTAACGAGTTACATTAATATAGTATACATAAAATGTCAAATCTAGTACAGTAAAACCTGTTTTTGTGCGGTCCTTTTTTATGCGATTTTTGTGCGATTTTTTTTTATGCGGTATATGAATTTCAACGGCGTTGGCATTACTGTAATGTTTTCTATCAGTGTACATATAAATATGCACTTCAAGACGCTCTGTTCATTTGGTTTAAACAGTTTCCCGACAATGTACATTCAATTATTTTCGCTCGACGCGCTAGCAGCATACGCTTCGTATTCCGAGTTTTATCCACGACTCACGTGATTAAGGATTCATTTTATAGTGAGATTAAAGGTAAATAAATTAATTACTTTTGTTTTTATTTGTATATAGTTTTTATGATTTTCATTTTATTTTTAAACATATGTACTCCCTTAAAATGAATAATTGTAGCCAAAAAAAAGTGAAAAGAAAGACAATTCCATTAGAAACAAAAAATCTAATATTAAATAGACTAGCAGATGGTGAACCAATTCATCACAAGAAGATGCGCGTTAAGGATTACGACGACTAGCAGTGAATTATGTAATGTGCATTTTGAAAACTTCTCCATGTCTACAATGAAAAATTAAATGTTTTTATAATGTGTAATTTAATTATTTATTTTGTTTGGAAGCACTTTCTCATGTATTTCGTAAATAATTGACGTATTTTCTAAGTGCGACTTTTTTTATGCGGTCCCTCTCCGCCGCATAAAAAAAAATTTCTGTAGTATGTCGTACAAAGTTGTTTATTATATGTAGTATTTATGAAATTTCCGAATATTTTTTTGTGCGGTTTCTTTTATGCGGTCCCTATCTACCGCATAAAAACAGGTTTTACTGTATTTTCTTCTAGAATGCCCTTATTACGTTTATTCTTGAATTTTTTAAGTGATTTATTATTCTGTGGTAATACGGATATCTTATTTTAGTTTCCTTTTTAAATGGAAAAAAAATGATATAAATACAAAACTGTAATTAACTACTGTTTTATATATTTGTATTAATAGAATGCTATTGGTTATAATAGATGTGTCATACAGAATTTTTACAAAAACAAGTTTTGTTGTATGTAGTACATAAATATGCAGACGATTAAAGTACTTATTACGACAGATAATTGTATTACCATACATAGTAAAATGAAGAGCAGAATGGTTTAGATTGTTTAGAATATCATATATGTACATGTATACATATACATGTACGATTACAATCATTTGAAATCATTTAACACTACCACTTGTTAGAAACATCGTTTTGTATGTAAAGATCCTTAAAAATTACTAGAGGAGTAAACATAATGGAAACAAAAGATTATACACTAAATATACCTTCTGTTAATTTTTATAAATGAAGTTAAACGATTTAAAAAATAAAATATCATTACAATAAATACCTACAAATTAAATTAAAAAGGATATGACCACTTTTCAATAAGCATTTAAGGTAAGAAGGACTTTTATCATTTTAATGAAATACTTGATAACATAAGGTTATACATAAATGATCATACATTTGTATGCATATATAAAATACATGAGTACTTATTGCTCAATTTCTTATACTAACTACGCAAAATATATACACACTTCTATCAACCCATGACTGATAACATGACTTGAAAATAGCAGTATGTTTATTTGGTTTACAGGACGCACATTACAAGTATGTGTACCTGATTCGTACATCGTGTGGGTCAGGTTTAAATTCATTTTAACCTGACTTTAACCTTACTTCCCACCATCTGAATCCAAAACCATTTTACTCAAATAAATGGTAACAACATAAAAGACCAAAATAAGTACTTAATTTATTAAAATATGACTATCTTATAAGAATAATTAACTTATTGATTAGAAATGGAAGTATACAAATTTTCTGAGAGAACACGGAAGCAACAGAATACTATTTACAGCACTTGCGTACAGAACAGTCGTAAGGTTCACTACCATTTTCGAAGCAGCGGTAAAGCTTAACCTTCGAACTTTTATAATATATTTCATTTACATACTTCATCCTATTTTGTACTTATGTTAATGCATTAGCCTAAATGAGTACCTTCTCATCTATGTTCTTTTAATTTACAATTTTCTTTTTCATTCACATGTGATTATCTTTTTGTAATACAAAAAATTACTTCCAAAATTATTTGTATCTCCGTTGATACTAGGATATTAAAAAAAGAATAGGAGAATATCGTTTTTAACCATTTTCATGTTTTTAGATTTGTATTCTTATTAGTCTAAATCTATACACACTTTGGACATTTATTGTGTTGCGTATTTTAATATAGGCAACGTTTACCATTTACAAGGTAAATCACGGAAAAGAACAGAACTACGAGACTCAAAGGGCCCCAAATGAGAGCAATTGTGTTAAAACCATACTGCTAAAAACAGTCATGATCGTTACGTTTGTTCTGTACGATAAATTTCTACGAATTTCTACGCAAGGCCTATGGATGTACAGTTCGTTAATTACTGTGACAATTTCAACGCTGTAACTCACTAAAGAATATATGTTTGATCGACGTTATGCGTCTACCGCTTACACTCGAAAGAAATAATCGAATTACGTTATCATTTTGAAAGACAATGCAGAAGACAGCATCCTTAACTCGTCTACGTAAGTGAGGTAATATTTGATGTTCCTTTCTCGTCTACGATTTACTGCAGCACAGGCCTAAGTTCTTGAGTCATGATAGGGTAAGAAACAAGCGGTGCAGTCGCACCAGATATCGATAGAGGTAAACTGGCAGGTTGTTGCGTATTAGGTTGCTGTTGGTTAGTTGCCTGTGGACCTGAACCGATAACGATGGGTGGCGGTATGGATACCGGTGCCATTGACACTGCTGCAATAGAAACAGGTGCAACAGTAGCTATACTTACAGGAACAGTCGCAACGCTCGCGGTAACCGTACGCAGCGTCCCAGCTGCCACTGCTGCGTTGACCATTTGTTGAGGCGTTGGAGCTTGTGATGGTGGAACAGTATTTGTAATGGTAACAGCTGGAACAGTAACCGCTGTTACATTTGCAGTCCGTTTTCCAGACATTCTTAATTGGGCATTTTGATCCAGAAGAAACTCATTAGTTGCTGTTAGATCGCTAACCTAGATGAATACAACATACAAATATTTAAGTTTTGGGCGATACATATGATAAAATATCTATAATGTGAAATATTAATTCAATTAAACAAACTTGTTTTTTTAACTCTTCTATCTTCTTTCGTAATAACGCGTTTTCATCTTCCAAAACAATTGCCCTAGCTTCATTGCGCGGTATCACCGGATAATAATATCCTGGAGTAACTTGTTGCGCTGTATGTTGACCTATTAATGGTGACGCTTCAAAATGAACAACAGTTTCACCAGAAACTATTCGTCTCTTTGGTTCAGGGGGTCCTATGTAGTCAGAAGGATGTGTGGATGCAGTGTAGCCATTGTTTGTTACTAAACTATGTTGATCTTCGATTGGCCAATGAAAGCTGTGGAAAATATGCAAGCACGCGGTCAAAACTCAAAAGTAGAGAATGGAAATACTCAACACTTTACAAATGTCCGTAAGAAAGCATTCATGCAGTAGTATAAAAAAAAAATCTCTGCCAGGATGCACTAGTGCAGACGTACTGGGTGAAACAGATCATCTAATTTTAATCTTTTGATTGATATAACTTTAGTCTAATTGTAACTACTCCTGAGATTTGTGATAAAATAACATTTGAGATCTGTAAAACGAAAATAGTACTATACTGCATTTAAAAAAGTCATCGTGATCTTCAAATCTCAGAAGTAACCACACCTGCAACAATGTTATAAAAGATTAAAATAGAACACCCCGTATATTTCTGTAACTTGCACAAGAATTACTTAATGAGTGGATGCTCATGTTTTGGCGGGGAATGTGCTCTAGAATATAAACGCTTTGACTGTCATTCAATCAAGAATACGCGCCAGAACACCACATATCTGATGACGTAAGTTTCATAAGTAGACAGAAACTCCGAAACGCTCCTTTACAACCGCGATTGCTCCTCTACAGCCAGTCCTATTATTGTGCGTTTAATTAAATAAAAAGTTAATCGTGAATTTTTTCCGTTATTTTGACACACAGAATCTATCGTTGAAAAAATATTCAATACTTTATCAACACAACTATTTACAACAATTCATTTTGTGTAATCACGTGAAGACAAATTGAATGACTTCGAGATTGTTTAGAATTTCAATATTTATACTGAAAGTATACCTACTAATATTCCATACAGTACATTTGCCGATTTTGTAATATTCAATATACTAAATTCAATTTCTGTGAATTGTTCCACGAAAGCATAAATGTTTATACTATAGTTTACATTTGATCAATATACTTTATACTGATATGTTCGATGTTTCAATATTTCAAGGTCTTATTATTATAGCTCATTGTATTCGTCTCTATATTTGTCATAAGATTCTGTAATTGAAAATATTGCTTCTATCTTAAGTACACCTTAAAGTGAGCATGAAGGTTGAATAAAAAACATTCAACACTTTCTCATTACCACTTAAGAATTCCATAATAAACTTTATTTGGCAATCAAAATTTGTTTTCAAATTATCCGCGGTGTTTAAACAATTATAAAAATCATTACGATAAATACTGTGTGCATCTTCCCATTCATAATGATGAAGGAGTATGCTGTGTTATGTAATAGGATGTCTATTTATATGCACATATTCATCTGCTACTTACTCAGCTAACAAGTTTTTCTCTTAATCTGACACTACCTCCGACAAAAAGCATTCAATCCAATAAGACAATATAATCAGTATAAAAATTATTTAGAGATACATTATAAATTAAATATACTTCACATAAATATTAAAGAAATAGAATAGAAGGGTTGACAATATTTGAAGAAAATATTAACAAAACGATAAATATTCTAATCTCCATAATAATGTAATGTTTAATAGCAAGTAAAAATCATGGAACACTGTGTAAGTAGTATTACAAAGTGTTGAAAGATTCTACACAAAAAGCATAGTAATAGGAATTGTCTAAAACGGGATATTTTGGGTATGATATTAATTTGACAAAGATTTTCTTCATCCCTAAAAGAAGACAGTATCCAATTTGACGGCATGCAGGGTGATTCGTTGATAAGATATTAAGTACAGCAGAATTGCTCATTGTTTCTGTTGCTTTCATTATTCGACGGACAAGCAAATAATGTTGTTCCCTTTAAAAACAAACGGGAAATTTAATGCAGTCCAATCTGTCAGCGTGTACTCACTTTCTGTCCTCTTCGTATCTGCGATTCTCTTCATTGGTCGCGCCATTGAAGTTGTGCTGTGGCTTGGGCACATTGTGATGAGAGACCGTGATCAAAGTGTGCTGCGGTTCCTCGTTCTTCCAGTGTCGGAACTTGCAATTGGCCCTCTGGCAGCTGCCCTTGATGAAATCCTTGCACACCGGGTACTCGGGCTTCTCATTGTTGTTCTTTAGCCTGGTCAATATATGGGCGGGCAGTTCGCCGGTCGCGCGGAAACGTTTCTCTTCGCTTTCCGTGCAATGGAGGAACTTGCATCCGGGCCAATTGCACATCCCGTTCTGGAAGTCATGGCAGAACGTGTACTCCTCTACGGGATCGTCCTCCGAACGTTCGTGCAGGTATTTGCAGCGTTTCCCCCTGTGGCACACGTTCCGCAGAAAGTCACGGCACACGCGGGTCGGCGACGGATCGCCGCCCGCGTTTAGCGCACCTGCTGTCGTTTTGCTCGGTTGCACGCCTCTCGCACTATCAGACTTTTCTTTGAGCTTCTTCATCAATGATACATCGCCGTCATACCCTCACGAACAATGTTTAATCGATCGTGATCACGTGCACGTTACACGTGCGTGCTGCAATTATAAAGAAAACAACAACAACAAAAAATGAATCATTGCCAATTTCAAGGATACAGGACTGAAACCATTTCGCGCGGGATCGAATGGAAAGCGTGAGGATATTCGGGAATTTTTTTGCTGCGCTTCTGTGCTAAACATTCTTCTGAATGTTTTATGGACCTTGTGCTTTAGAAAAAGAAGATTCAACAACGTTGATCATTAAAAGATAGTTGCTGATTTTTGAACAATTATACTTAACGATATAAATGCCGCGAGAAAATATTGTTTAATAAGCTTTTTCGAACCACGATCAATAGCCAGATATCTATTAATAAATTTCTTCCCAGCCATTTCGTTATAATTTTATATAAACAGAGAGCAACCCGAATAACGTAATGTAATTTCAAGCAATTTCTTTTCAATTCTTATTTAAAGAATAATTAATAGGCCGTTTGTTAATCAGCATCGAAAAGCCTATATTAGGTCGACCTTCGGGTGCAGAAGTGTTAAGTGTGGGTATTCAAAGAAATATGTTAAAAAGTGTTTCCGTTAAGTTAATTTTTATTTTTTTTTATATAATGACTATTACATGGGTAGGAAGATTATATTAACAATTGTTATGTACAGTATTATGTTGTTTATGTGAACCTTTACGATCGTAATATAACTTCCATCTACCAAGAAAGTATACCCATAGAAGCGGCAGGCCAATGTCTTTTTTTTTGGAAAATTTAATATACTTTATCGTTCTCACTTGTACGGATCAATATTCATTACATTGAACGGGACAGAAATAGATCGAGCAATGGCACTGTAATTAAACTAATTAGAATCGAGAAGATACGGATAATTTGAGTCGCGTTCGTATAAAAAGGAATTGATAGAAAATGTATAACTAGAGTTCGTTTTTAGAAACATACAGGTATCTAGGCCACTTCTGCGGAATCGTTTAACGCGTCGATTACAACAAAAATCGTACCTGAAACTTTTCCACTGTAATATCTTTTCTTTTTTGTTTCTTAAAATTCATTAGGTCGACTTTTACGGATATGCTTCTATTTTCATGCTACCAATAAAGAGAAGAGACACTGCAGAGTGCATCGATGATTCTTGTTAATTAGTCACATGTTGACGTAGAAACGGCAAGATTCATCGGAGCATCGAATGCATAACAAAACGAGACTTCGACAAATAATTAATAATAATGTACGTAGAACGCCGAATTTTGTATTAACAAATTATTCTTATATAAATATATATATATATATATGTATATACACAAAACAATAATATAAAGAAAAAAACAGCTGCGATTTAAAATCGATTAATGCCAACAATTAAATAGATTGCTTAATTCAATCAATAAATTTACAATTGAATCACGCGTAAGACGATCACCAATTGGAGAGCACAATAATTCGACTTCTTTAATCTTACAATATTATTTCTTTGAGAAATTATTACTGACAACAAACAATTATTTAAAGAAATCGAATTACACAGATTTATGTTCTACTCAAGGACATCGGAATCTACGAAATAAATATCGAGTATTTCTTTTTTTTTTAAATTCATAGTTTGTTAACAATAAGAAAAATATTAAAACGACTTTATCAAGATATTGCAATACATCAAGAGATTTTTCCTTTTATAAAAATGGAGCATTGCATATAAATATTATTTGTAATTTATATAACAAACATTCGAGTCGTTGGACGTGCAGTGTTGGAAATAATTGCAAAGTATAATGACACAAATTGTGCAATGTTGTAAATACAGATTATACCATATTTTAAGACGATATGATATTGAGATTGGCAGCATGTTGAACATTTTATGTGGTATTGTCTATACTTCTGCTAATACATTTTTTTTTGTTCTTATCCTAAACCTTTGTTCTATGTACATATTTATTGTTTCAAAGTTCTGCTGTGATTTGATTTTGGTTCCTAGTTTAAGGTGGTAACATGGCGTATCTCTCTGCTTCACCTTTGTCATTCATTAGAGAATGATTTCTGTGATTGGTGTTTCAACAACTGTACTGGGAAAAATATATACAATTCTTAATATACTTTGTTCATATAAAAATGTTCGAATCTTTGCTGAAACTACACACCACCAGGTTCATTTGTATCGCTTACTTGAAATCTTTTAACGAACTATGTTTTAGGGTTTTATACTTTTGTCGTAGTACTACAGATAAAAAAAGGAAATACAATATTAATGTTAAAAGTTATATATACATACACCGGAAAGAAATATTAGAATATTTTCTGTAGTAGCATCCATACTAACATTATCGCAATGGGTGCTACATAATGTATTGGTACAGAATAGGTTGCATTTAATAAATCACCGCATTGCGCTCTGAGAGTTGTATACTTCTTTAAGAGCTCTGCCTTCTCTTCGACAAAAGCATTGTACTTCTCCTTTAAAATGACTAACTCTTCGTGGAGCTCTTGAATTCTTTGAGATTCATTCTTGGCACGGTAGTATAGTTCTTTTAATTTCTCAACAATTTCTTCAGGTGGTTCATTAATCAACCAATCCTTGAGATTTTCTAACTCCTTTTTGACTGCTTGTTGTGACTCTAAATTGTCTTCAAGTTTTAAAGAATCTAGAGATCCTATTAATGTTTGTAGTAGATACTCCCTTGTATATAAATTTTGTTGTGCATCATGTTTAGACACAGGTTTCAATGTTTTCACATAATCGCTTTCTAAATGTTCCCCTTCACATTCCTCATCTAATTCGGTACTATCCTTGTCTCCTTCATCCTTTTTCTTCTGTTGATTGGTTTCCACGGAAATTGACTCATTTAAAGATTTAAAGTTATTTGTACTTTCAACAGTAGCTTCCCTTTCTTCGCTTACTTTTTCTTTCAGCATGATCTGAAGCTGACAAGGAACTTCCGATTCCTTGCCATTTTCTTCGCACGCGAATCGAACTTCCATTTTGTAAGGTACTACAATTTCCTCAACTACTTCATAAGCAGGCTCCTCTCTTTTAACTTCTATAACAGATTTCTCGCTTGTATCGTCGCTGGTAATACTACATGTATCATCTGTTGCATCCGAATTGGTATCAGATTCCGAATTGATATCAGAATTGTCTATATTTACATTTCCATTGACTAAAGTTCTTCGAGACGGCGGTGGTAAAATATACTCTGTTACATTATCATTGTTAGTCAATGAATCTTCTAATTGTTCCTTCGAAAAAGTAGTGTCAGAATTTTTTAACTGATTTGAATCAATATCTCGCAAGTTAATTTGATTGTCCTGTTCGTCCTTTAAAGGACAAAAATTAGTTTCCACGTCGATCTCCATGTTATCAGCGTGTATAGAATTCAGTTTATTAAGGATAATATTAATGGCTTCAATAGGATTCTCTTCATCCTTGGATTCCATGTTATCGCTGGTTACCATTTTTGAATTCTTATCTTGCAAAATCTGCATGTAATTTCTGAGGGCAGTGATCTGCTTATGACTATTGACAGAATCTAATCTGGAATCACGTAACCTTGCTTGTAGATTCTTTTCAATTCTGGATTGATCTTCAATTCTTCTCAGAAGTTCTTGTTTCTCTTGTTCTACATTTTGTATCATGTCTTTCATCTGTTCCTCAGTCTCAGTCAGTTTATTTGTGGTTTCCTGAAGTTTCTTTTGTACCTCTGAATATTTACTACTCAGTACATGAAACTCTGATTCAGTATACTTTCCTATATTATGAAGACTCTGACATTCCTCTTCTGTTTCACTTAGACGTCCTTCTAACTGTAATAACCTTTGAGAAATTTCCAGCTTTTCTTGTAGTACTTTCTGTAATGCTTCCTTTGCTGCATTTTGGTACTGTGCCTTTTCCTCCTGAAGCTTTACCAACTCATTTCTGATTTTATCTTCTGTGTAATTTTTAGAGTAAACATTCAATTGGCTTTCAACAGTCTCTACCCAAGACAACAATCGATCCTCTGCTATTAATGCCGTCCAAGACTGATTGGCAGCTTTTCTGGTATTAGCCACAAGCTGTTGAAGATAATATAACTTAGAATTAAGTGCCTTCTCGCGTTTTGAAGCCTCTTGCATGACCTGATTCAACTTATACAAATCTTCAAGGGAAACATTATTGATTGGTGATGCAACCGATGTAAGAACATTAGCTTCCTTCCCATCAGGCAGATACAATTTCAGTGTTGCAACTATACATCCATGCTTAAACTTTTTTGTACTCTCCATCACGTCAACGCCAAATTGCACTATGTCACCTGAAAATACCTCCTTTGGTGGAGATTCTACATTGGCAGCACCAAGTCTCTGATTATTAACAAATGTACCATTACTACTATGTGTATCTTGCAAGTAAAACTTTCCACTGGAATACCACAGCAACGCATGATTTCTAGATAATACTTTGCAATCAAAGATCGCATTGTTTGCTGCAGCTGTGGATCTAGCCACAGAACGACCGATTTTCACAGGTTTCTCCAATGTCAGTGTACGTTCTTGAAATGGATGGGAATTTTCCCTGCAGATTAAGACACCTTTGGCTGTCATTTTGTTCTTCTGCATTGTATTGACTGGCAGGAAAACTGGCATTTTGTACCCACCCACCACTGACTACAACCATAGCCGATGGAAAATGCAAATAATTGCAAGTCTCTTTCAGAATAATTCAACACATGTATGGTGAAAAAACAAAGGATAATCATATATCGATACAGCAAACCGGCGAGCGAATGCGAAACTAAAAAATCACGCGTTTCACTGTCATTGAACGTGTTTAATGTCGTGTCGGTTTATCACGGAACGGTTATTGTTCACGCCCGATCGCGAAACTCAATCGCAAGGATCGTGTTCGGATCGTTCGAAACGTAAAATTCCTCATGGAAAGGCGTGACATACGAATTTAAATATTTCCACAACAGAGAAAAAAATTCCGTTGCCACTCCAGTTGTCTTCTAGTATTCGTTTTTCAATTTGTCATGAACTGTCCGCACGTATAGTGTAATTGCACTGTGTGTCAATTAATCAACTCAAGAATGTTCAGTTCAACTCCGCGATTCGTTGGTCCGGATTTGCCTCAGAATGTAATCAGAATGAATCTTCCGTACGCGTCGAGAACGTGAAATGATATGTTTCTCTGCGCAAGTAGCGGTGAGCGTACACTTTCACACTTTCGTCCTTCGCACCAGTTTCCTTGCACTTTAAAGTCTTCGACGTTGCATTCGAGGAGATTCATTAGAGAATCATAATACACCCGACGCTGTGGTCGATAACACCCAAACGCGACTAATCGAGCAATGTTGTGATCAACCGGACAGATCAAGACCGAAAATATTGTTCTCGAACGACTTCCCTACTGTACCGAGATACAAGTGGTCCACGTTCCTTTAACTCAACGTTCCTCAGTTCCGCGTTCCGCTGTTTATCGACCAGCGGCAGTATAGTCATCTATAATCTATACGACCACACCGAGTAACAAATTCAAAATAGGTTTCCTTGAATACCGAATTGGACGTTACTTGAAGAAATTTTTATATCAGTAATATTTTAATAAAAACTACAAATAAACCAAAATTATTATTCGTCAATAACGAAAAAATTCAAATACTCTAATTTGAATCCAAATATTCTAATTCTAAAGAATATGCTACAAAATATTAATAATTTTGTTTTCGTTTTATAATTATATTATAAACAAAAAAATAGAAAATGTGAAAATGTTTCAACTTTTTACCTTACATCCTTACATGTTGTTCAAGACATTCGACGGATATGATATAAAAAAATTTTATTTAGTTATAGACAGTAATGGACATTGTTTAACGCATGACTGAGCTCAGATAATTTGCAAAGGCGTATAATAATGTTGATATAAAAAAAGCTGTCTGAAAAGTTACCCTACCCTAAGGATATAACATAAAAGAGCTTTGCACGAGATACATTCATTATAGTTTGAAAATTATCAACACACAATTAACTAAAAAATGACTCTTAATAAAAAAAAAAACTACGATGTATAAATAGAATTAAGACATTTATTTTAGGAGGATTTAAATACTTTATAGGTACAATAAAAATTGTTTTTTTTTAAATACTGTTATATGTAACTTTAAAACAGACTTTATTCAATATTTTATTTGCAACTTGAAATTAATCAAGTACGTCAGACTTTTTAACCACTTATTTATTCATTTTCTTACGTGAAAATGTATAGTTAGTAAATCTTGAATGCAGTTGCTTTTACGATTTAGAACTCTGAACTTATTTTCCTATAATTATGCAAATATATGATTATTAATATGGTCCAGTACTAAAATAAGCAATCATCAAAGTCAACCGCGGTAAAAATGTTTACCGAAATCGATACTTTAAAATGGAGTTAATGAATGCCTTCGCCATTGTAGGAGCGTTTATGTGTGAAAACATACGAAGGTCAATGTTTTTCGAAGGATTTCTAACAGCATAACGTAGAATATAACCTAAAAGGATACAGCACCGTGAATTTTATCGTTTGAAATATAGCGTATACAAGCTACTGTTAAAAAATAATAAATACAATTTTCGTATAGTTCAATACATCCTAGTGTTTGCTATTGTTTCGTTTTAAAATTATGTTGTTTCTTGTTAGTACTGAAATGCACATTAAAGAAATGTAATGAACATTTTGATGTGTATACAATTTATATACGTAATATCAAGTAATTATTATTAAACTGTAGCTTTTATGCCATTGTAACAACGTACATTCGATCAATAGTGAGAAAAAATCAAGCAAAAATGTCGGATGATGATTATATGTCAGACAAATTTTTGGAAAATTCAGAAAAATCTGGATCATCGGGTCTCTTATATCGACACGCAGATAAAAGAAAATTTGAAATGATGAAAAGAAAAACTGAAATTGAAGCAAAGATGCAAGAAAAAAATTCTGTGAAATATATGGAACAAGAGAAGAGAGAAGCTGGTTTATCTTCTGCTATTAAAAGTACCAACAAAGGTATGTTTCTGTTAAAAACAAAAATGTATAAAATATACTCTTATATGTACACATACATATTTTTTACATGCATGATTTTATAACTTCTTATGATTTTAGGCTTTGAATTACTCATGAAAATGGGATATAAGCCAGGTCAAGGGATAGGTAAAACAGAATCAGGAATGATTGAGCCCCTTGGTGTTGAAGTGAAATTAGACCGACATGGTTTAGGCAAAGGCATTAAGAGAAAACAAACACAAAGTAAAAGTAGTTTGGATAATGGGAAACTGGACAATAAATGTATGAAAGACTTTCGTAGCAGAATTTCTCAGAGAAAAGCTGAACAGTTAATGAAAGCTGATCTTTATAAGAGTCAAAAAGTCTGTGAGCAATTAGATACACAATTGAACATAAAAGAACCTGTGAATGGATGGTTCTGGTTACCTCAAAAAACTGAAAGCAGTAGTGACACAGAAGATGAAGAAGAAGAAGAAGAAGAAGAAGAAGAAGAAGCTCCACCAATTAATGAGAGATTGGAAATCCTTACTAAATATTTAAGAGAAAAGCATTTTTATTGTATATGGTGTGGAGAAGCTTTTAATAATGATGATGACTTAAGGAACAATTGTCCTGGAAATACAAGAAATGATCACTAAATACAAACGGTAATGTGTTTAAATAAGGAAGTACATGTAATAAAGAAATACACTGAAAAATTTCACTAACATATGTTTTTACTTACATCACTTACTATTACCACCCTGTAAGAAAGCATACAGGGCATGAGAGGCTAAGGACCTAAGTAACATTAGTCATGTTTCTTTGATACAATCACCCACTGTGCACTGAGACATAAAAAACCCATTAGAGTCATAATGCAAAATACTGAAAAAGTAATGTCCTCAAGCTGGAAAAAATCCCAACTGTGTATAGTGTAAGAGCAGGGGAAAGTTATCCTGATTCTGCTATGCTATTATATCCTAGCAGGAGTTCAGCACCCCTAGTTATTGTATGTTGGAGGGAAAGCTACCTATAAAAGCATCTGTTTGATTTTCTCTGCTTTCATTTGTGTGAAAATCTTTGACCACACCTGTACTGTATTGGAAAGAGGTCAATCAAAGGAAGTAAACATTACTTAAACAAAAGAATTAAAATGTTTATACTGTCAACAGTTTTGTTATCAAGTATATTCATTTTTATTAGTAGTACAATGTCTCAAATAATAGATGATGAGAGTTGTGAAACATTACAGTCAGAAGTACATATTACAAAAGGTCTCTTCTCCATCGATCTATTGGAGTATTTATACTTAAACACGCGAATTAAATATTTCCATTTTTCCAGACGAATACGATGAAATAGGACGTTTAAAAAGAACATGTAGTGGAGATATACCTGTCACAAAATGCGAAGGGTTTTGCAGTTCACAAGTGCAACCAAGTGTTGCGAGTACAACTGGATTTTCAAAGGTGAGTAAGTGGTAATATAGTTGTGAAAAAACAACTGGAGTTTTAAGAATACAAATGAAATAATCTTATTCTCTTTCTTAATAGGAATGTTACTGCTGTCGAGAAAGTTACTTAAAGGAGAGACTTATTATCTTACACCACTGTTATGACGCAGATGGCATAAAATTACTGAATGAGGAAGACAAAATAATGGAAATTAAAATACGAGAACCGGCAGAGTGTAAATGTACTAAATGCGGCGATATATCTCGATAAATATAGCGTAAATAATTTAAATAAATGGTATTGTGAATTATATCACCAAATTATATGATAATCATACTTAAAATAAAATGCAAAATATGAAATGGACCTCTACTCAATTATTTTCCTTCTCCTTTAAATGCATAGGCTACACTAAAGAATGATATTCGTTGAAAACTTTGTAACTTCATCAAATGCTGCAAAACTTTAAGTTAGAATTAAAGAAATTATATATTAAAACTAATTAATTACTATCTTCATATTAAATTCTTTCTGTTTTACTTGTTGAAACATAGCAAGACTATAAAAAACATAGATGTAAAATGCATAAATTATTTAAATGTACCAAAAATGTAAACAAATTCTGTAATTAAAATATACTCAAACTCTTGACATTAAAATGATGTACTTTGGTGTTAATTTGTTACTTATATTACTGATTTTAACATTCAATATTACGAAAATAATATGCGCTAATAAATTAAGTTACAAAGGAACTATGTACCTTATTATGTTAGTTATTAAAATATTAAAAATCATTTATTTAAAAATGTTCACTAATAAATAATATGCTATACACTCAACATAAAACTCGTTTAATTCTTTCTTCAGTAATGAAGTAATCATAAATGAACAACTGATGTAGTATACTTCTCTGACAAATAGAAAAATTTGAAAACAGAAACTGTGAATTTATTATTTAATGTAATTGGTAACATACTATGTATATAGTATGAGGTTCCTTTTTATTTTTTGGAGTCTTATTTATTTAAGTACCTTTCCTCTAATTTTAATGCAAAACATTACTTCTACAAACTGTTAAAATTAAAAAAAAATTGTAACAATAACCATAATGATACTCCCATTAATTACAAATAATTTTTTCCAAAAAGGTATTTTAAGTATTTTCCTTTTAAACGTAAAGATAATTAGAAACTTATTCAATAAGTTTAAATCAGTTGATTACTTTTTACAGTTTCTACAAATTGTTCCAACTTGTTATTGATATTCAAATATACACAAATTGTTACAGTAAATTTTCATTATTAAATTTTTATCACTATGATTACCAGAACTCAAAAATTACAACTCATAGTTGTAACAAGACTATAGAAACAATAATATGTATTCTGCACTAATGTAGTTTTTTTATATACATATATGTTACAGATACTTTTAGAAATAGTTCTCACATTCTTTTATGTACTCAATTCCTTCCCTACTGCTATTAACATAGGCATCGGAAGGGAAGGGAGAAAACATGGCCACCTACAGGGTATAAAAGGGTACAATGTGAAATCTATAAGCACAGTGAAGTACTAGATCCGGAAGGAAATGTATCGTGTTAAAACTATGTTCCTGTATCACATTGGTATATGAAAAGTCATATCACCAAGATTTTTAGAAATAAGACAGAATCGTATTTAAATTTCAGTTATATATGTAGAGACTTTATGGCACTACAATGTTATATGCATACATAGATCATTTGATTCAGACTTCTCTTTTATACACTCATATAAATGTGTGGCGGGAAGCTCCAATTTTGTTATATTCATTTACAGAAACTCTAATGAAACAGAAATTCGTTTATTCTATTAAGAATTGTATCAGCTTCAAAACACAATAAGAACTTTATCAAATTTTATTATAGTTATCTCTAAATTGAATTTGAGACAATTATTGCACACTATAAATATATAAAATCTAATCAGAGATTTGAGTCATAAGGTTTAGTGATAACACATTTTAAATTACCAATTGAAAGTTGGTACTTGGGTAAGGCTCCCCTGATGTATTTTTGTGAGTGTAAAAGGAAAATGAGAATCAAGAAAATAAACCACGTGCAGATACAGACAATTTATGTATATTTCTGTTACTTACTGTGCAGTGGCTGTTGGTCTTTTAATATGCCTTCTGTCTGGAAGCACAAGGGCAATTGTAGGCGTCGATGAATGCCAGGCGACTCCAGTTATTCACTTTTTGCAATACCCAGGATGTGTACCAAAACCAATTCCCAGTTATGCATGTAGAGGACGCTGTAGCAGTTACCTACAGGTAAAGTGGGATAATTAACATGAAATTTGCAATGTAAATATAACTCCCAATAAAATTGTATGTCTTTGAAAGAAATTGTTCAATAGTATTCATAAAGCTGATAAAAATGCATACTTTATGAAATTTTTTTTATTTCATCTATATTATTACACGTTTCAAAATGAATTCAAGAACATATGTGCAATACATTATGAAAAATAAATAAATAATAAATAAAAACATCAATACACATTAATTCCATTGTTTCTACAACTTCAGTAAAAAATCATCACTATCAGTGTGTCTTTCGACCCCCTGATGAAACTAACTGCAATGCTTGTGAAATGTTAGGAAAACAATTCCACAAGGACATGGCTTCCACCCGAAAGCCTCAACAGTGAGAACTGTATGATGCCAAGCCATGAAAGCCTCAAATCTTTGTTCAGTTAAAAATGTTAATTACATGTAACTTCTGTCATCACTAACCATAACAGTATTTAACAAGATTAAAAGTAGCTGTTTCCTTTATTTTTCTAAAAAAATTTTCAAATAAACAATGAAATGAAGAAAATAAAAAATATGTGGTTACATTTTAAAAAGTAAAATTGATACTGAAATGCCTGTATATAAGGATTTTATAAAAAAATATTTATTATTGCATTGAATTTCTCACATAAAATGAAACAAATTCTATTGAAATCAATTTTTTTTATACTCTCCAATGCTACAGAAATAATAGCACGTATATATTTGGACTGGACATACTGTGTATTCTGTACTTTGAATACAAGAGAATAGAGATCAATACATAAATGTAGTTTGTAATGATTAGATTTACATAAAGTATATCAAATAATTATTGTTATTTATTATTATTACAAGTTAAGAATTCGTTTTACATTGATGGTTGTTAGATAATATCACAGTTTTCACTTAACTGTACTTAGTGGATTGTAAATAAAACTTAAGACTATAATATACAAACATTGATTTGATTGTACCTGTTTTTACAGGTGTCTGGATCAAAAATTTGGCAAATGGAGAGGAGCTGCATGTGTTGTCAAGAAAGCGGCGAAAGGGAGGCCAGTGTATCCTTGTTTTGTCCAAGGGCCAAACCGGGCGAGAAAAAATTCCGAAAGGTTAGATTGCCTCCAATGAATCGCAAAGTCTCGAAAATTTAGAACGAATGTGAAATTTTAATAACGCATCGACCGGGTAATCACTTTCACATTAAAATCAGGAGCAAAGCTTTTGACACCACGAGTTTACCACAGCCATATTGTTTTTGTCTGATCGACCAGTAGGAAGCGCGTAGAAAAAGAATATCGCGCGCGATTTGAATCGAATAATTGTACACGGATGACATAATAGTCATCACAAAAAAACTTCAAAAGAAATATGCTGACGAAATCAAGTATACTTATCTGAAAAGTATATTTTACGATGACTGTATAGAAATCATAACTTACGCAGTATGTAAATACGCAATATTTTCAGGGTATTTTACAACTAAAAATCACGTCCAACGTTCTATAGTTTTTTCTAATGTTTCTGTATTGGCGGATGTAAGAAAAGGTTTATTGTATATGCACATATTAAATATACATTGTTCGGGTAGTATTCGAGTTAAAATGGTATTTTTGATTTTAATAAGAATTTTAATGTAATTCCTTATCACTGTACTTTTTGTATTTGTTATAACACTATATGTAGTCTCTTAGGTGTGCTGTTAACATAGATTTTACTTGCTTGGTAGATTTATTATTTCGAAATTTTGTGACAATGAATAAATTCTTCAGAAACGAATTTTCTGCAAATGATATTCATAAATTAATATAACATAATTAATACGTGTATATAAAAATAAGAAATTTTCAACTTATTATTTTACCAAATTTCTGTTTTTTATACTGAGTAATCAGAAAGTACAAATTGCAACTGATCTGTTTAGAAAAAAAAAATCAATTAATTAAATCAAACAAATCAATTCACAGGTAATTACCAAAGCGCCTCTGGAATGTATGTGCAGACCATGCACAAGCGTAGAAGAATACGCAATTATTCCTCAAGAAATTGCTGGATTTGCTGACGAAGGTCCGTTTACAACTTCTGCTCATTTCAGAAGGTCGTCCGACCTACAATAGTTGATTGTTCTAAATTTGTGCTAACAGTATCAAATTAAAAAAAGTTGGAAAGAAAATATTTATTTGCGTGATATAGAAAATTATAAACATTAGAAACAATATAAATGTATGAACAAACTGAAAATAAAGAACATATTTAACAAAAAATAGGCACAATAGAGAATGTTGTTACGTCAATACAACAATTATTTTATCGTTGTCAACTATGCGATTATGTATGAAGACTGAACAGAAATATTTGCGTTTATTAATTATCAATAAAATAAACTATTAACGGTCATTTAAGAAAATGTTAAAAAAGTTTACTAATGTTTTGGTGGATGTATATCAGAAGCCTTATTAGTTTGTTATAAATAATTTCAGTTATATTACATACATATAAAATAACTACATTGTAATAAATATACAATATAGGATATTACGCATATTTAGCGTTTTAAGAATGCGTATTTATGTTATACAATACGATTATAATTATTGCATCTTAACAAATAATGTTGCAGATCATTACATCCTGTCAAGTATACATTATCTACAATATTTAAATTTCAAGTGCATCAGATATTAATGTTATTCTCTTTCCTTTAATCAGCTTCGTTCGAAATCGTATGCGTATATTTCGTTCATTGTTATAAGTATAAGACATAAGATATACTTTTTTTACGGTTATGAAGACAATATACGAACAGTGTTACAAAAAAATATGCGGATTACTTAATTCAGTGAATATCTCATCTTCGGCGTTGCGATCGATGCATCTAGACAGGCTTATATTCAAGAAAATAATCAACAACAGTTTTGACATGGAGTTCTGTTTTATTTTTTTTTGTATAGATATGATTTATCATATAAGTGTACGTGTGTATCTGTGTATTGTGTTCTGGAGTTTTTTCTAGTGATATTTTATTTATATTATGTATATGTATATTAAATGTAGACGTAAGTACACGCAGGTATATGTGTAAACAGTTAATATACGTGCGTGTCCATACGTAAGTTTATCGGCACGTTAACATTGCATGCACGTGCGAATAATTTCGCGACAGCGTGATTGCGCTGGCATTGCTCTTCATTTTCGCGATTTGTCCAATTTTCACTTATAATATTTATTTATTAAATATTTACAGTGATAATTCTTTGTTACTTGTGATTCACTTATCAACATTTTTCCAACAATATTTCTTTTTTTGTTCATTTTAATCGTATGTATATATGTATATATGTATATATAAATTATTGTAATTTTATTTATTTACTGCTTTTCGAGCGGATTCCATATTTCATCTCGTCGAATGATACATTCCACCGCGTGGTGGTAAAATGAGACCCTTCAAGGAGACGAATTTTATAGATCATCATGTGATCGTCAGATGTTTTTTTCGTGTTTATAGCAGTTTTACAGTGTGAAAAAATGAGTAGCGATGGTCATACTTTTTCTCTTCTTTGCTCTCCCTTTGAATTTTTTTCTTCGTTCTTCTTTTCGTTTGGGAAAGTATGCACAATTTTCGACTTTCCGATTTCTAGTGGCAACATTGATTGGAATTAATTAAATTTATCGTCCCATAGACTTGATTTTCAAATGTGTTTTAAGCTATTTCCTGTTTGTAAAAAATAAACTATGCATTTGGAATGCAATAAATTGTATATTAATAGTATACGGAGCGGTAAAGAAAATAATGGGGCATACAAATAAAGTACAAGAAATTGCGACTGTAAAGGGAATCTTGTATCAAAAGTTTATGAAAACAAACTGAGGTTTTGTTTTTATAAATAAGTAAAGGATAATGTATACGCGTGCATACATATTTATGCATGTATACGTAAACGGAGACATCGAATGCAATGCACAGTAAATTTGTAACCCTTCAGCAACATGCAACTCATAAAAATGGTAAGTATTGTTTTGTAAACCTAGCATTTATGTAGGACTAAATGAGAAGTACCTACATTTAAATGTAACCGAGCGTATGTCCGTTTTCTCGGTATCAATCAATAATTAGAGTTTCTTAAATAAGGAGAGTATATTTAGTAACATGAGAAATATTAGACAAAAACAATGTAAAATTGTTTCCTAGAATTAAATAAAAATAATATTTCTTTATATAACTGCACTCGAGTCTACCTATTTCCTTTTTTATATGTATAATAGTATATCCAAAGGAAATGTATTTTTCACACTGTACTTTAAATTAGTATAACAATTTTATACAATTTGCTACGGCACCTGCCACCTGAATTACATGCAGACATTCCATCTCACGCACTATAATCTGTTCTCTCAATGATTATAAATAACTAGTGTTAAAAAATAGTAGCGCCTTAATATGCACACCATTTGTATCCTTCAGTTTCCTAGTTTCAACATATTCTACATTACGAACCCAATGTTTCGTAATGTTACACTTTTCACTCTCATTCTTTCTTTTCTTAGTTTACGAACGTGTTTCCTTATCTTTCTTACAGTAGAATACATCGTAAGTTCGCAAAGATATAAATTAGTAATCCTGTTTATAATAATAGGAAGAACCATCGCCCTTTTATCAGACTTGGTTATCAATAGTTTCCGTCTGCTTATTTTTTTGAGATTTAATTTACTTAAAATTGACCTACTTATACACACCTGCAATCTGCAATTTGTTTTATCTAAGCCATACAGCAAACGCTTCCGGTCGTTTCACGTACATCTCGCATGGTGGAAACATTCAATGTAGCCTTCTCGATCTTCCGATATACAAGCGTAAAAGAAAAATCAGAAGTTTCCGTTCTATTCGGGCGATATTCACAAGCTGCAGTGACGCGTCTTTCACAAGACACATAAGAAATACGATATTGTTCTCGAGTTGTTTTTTTTGCTTTATTTAAACTTTAAACCATTTCAATGAATTATATATAATAATTATCTTGCATTTACTTTTGTATCATAATTAATAATTAATCTTTATCTTCATTATGTATAGTGGTCTCAGCCATTGTGTGTCCGTTTTTTATGACAACCTCCTCCTTTATTATCTTTCACTTCTTGTTCTTCGAAGTTTTAGACTATATTACATACACCCACGCACTACTTATCACTCCATTGTTTTTCCTCAATGTATGACGTTTTTCTTTAAAAAAAAAAAAAAGAAACTGCAATTTGATCTCACTTCGCGTATCATGTTAACGAGGGAACATATATTTTAGTCTTTTCAACAGACGATAATGTACTCGATCACGGTATCGTCAACAACGATCTTGATTCACGCCGGTTGATACGTCTTCTACACTGGAAGCATCGTCCGCTTCTTGTAAGCCAGTGAAAAACGATGTTAGCGCCATCGTCGCGACACCATGCCACTCGCGTTGGGCTGGTTCGGCACTCTCTTTCCACGTCAGGAACGCGTCGCTCGAAATTATGTTGTAATCAGACAAGCTTGTCATAATATTAAAGAGAATCCCTATATCATAAACAAATTTTAATGAAATTGATGGAATGTCGCTAAAAAAATAAACTAATTTTATACTAAGAAACGAAGCTTTAGACGTCTCACATACGAGAAACACTATTTCCAACTTCTTCCTTCCCCTGATTTAGCAAGAAGTTTAAATAAAATGACCGATTTTACCTATATATTTACCTACATTATTTTATTAACGAAAATATACTACCCGCGCGACAATAAACTTACTTAAAAGTTGTTTAAGATCTGTCTTGTTCATAGAAACAAAAACAAGAATAGTAATTGGCAAGTGAAAAACAACTAAACTTTTTGTTCTGGATGAAATGGCAATGATGTTATAAGAGAGTATTATTGTAGTATGCAACACCAGATACACAAATACTAAAAGAGTAATCGATTTGTGTATCTCTTTAAGGACAATCGATAATACCTTATGTTTTAAGGGAGTATCGATGATTAAGACGCCTATATCTTTATTCCTTAGTATATTTTTGTACTTTCATATCTTACCGGGTGGATATTGTAGTTTGTGCAAATGAAATTGAATTGCATAAAGACACTGCAATTCTAAAGACTCATTTGCATCAACGAACCGGCGGATCAGTTGTTGCAAATTAGTAAACAGTTCAGTTTTCAAACACCATCTGTTATTTACTTGTTCTAGAAATAGAAAAAGAGAGGATTTTATAATTGAAGTATTTTATAAAGCTAGTACGAAATGTGTGGTAGAGAATTTTAAAGCGATACGTACCCATGGACGTCTCTAAAATGGCAGTTGTTAATACTCGAATAAATTCAGGCTCCTTGACTCGGTTACCTACATTTACCTGTGGACAATTGATAAATGGAATTAATTATGTGCACTGTTTCGTAACTCCTGAACAATTGAATTTAGAATACTTACAATTAACCAATTACAAATCTCATCGAAACTACTTTCTTTCGTGAGTCTTCTAAGTTCATTGTGAATTTGCTGTAATGTGGGCTGATTGCTAGATGAACCTTTGGCACTATTATAATCACCAGTGCAGAAATCCAATTTCTGAAATGTGTAATAATACTGTCACTGTTGTTTCTTTGCTGTGTCGTTACATTTTCAATACATGATACTATTATAATCTTACATAGTCTTTAACAATTTTGTCAACTTCTTCAAGCTTCGTATCAACTATATTGCTCAACTGAAGTCCACTTTGGTCCCATTTATCTGCAACCCATTTGGGTCCTTTATCTCGGGATAGTTGTGATAGCAATTCCCCAACAAATTTGCCAACATATCCTCGACTTCTCAAATTATCAAATAAAGCTTTTAATTCTTGTAGCGGGACTAGTTCATCCTTTATTGGATACGCTGCACAGAAAAAAATATCAACAATTTATAACGATTTTTAAAAATTCTACAAGCAAATTTGAATGTCTAATTTCAGGCCTGTTGAGCAAAAAAACCCGCATGGATACAATCTATGGTAAAAAAAATGATCATCATGTATGATAAATATTCTTAATAGAGATCGATAAAAATTGTATAACATCTAATTAATATTTACTTACATAATATTTCTGCCAAATACAACCAAACTTTGGGTATATCCAATATTAAATCATCGACTAAATCCAATATCTCTATGAATCTGAAAAATGAATTAGTACTTAATATATTTGAAAAAAATATAATTTCCAACACTACTGCAGGAAGATATATTCAGTATCCTTTTGGCTTAATATATAATGTTCAGCACGACAACTTTCTCTGCATAAAAGTTTCATCATACGCTTTTGGAAAAAAAATACACATTAGACAAATTTTTTCATAAGAAATGCAACCTACCCACTTCTAAGCTGTTGTAAAGGCAGAATTTTCTGTGTGATTAAATGCGATATCAGATACGAGACACGTTCTCTATCAACAGGCGATTTTTCGAGAACGAAGTTGATCAATTCACGTATGAATTTCGATAAAGCATTATCAAAGTTCTGTTGAATAGCCAGCCCAGCACTCTGTAAAATTAAAATAAAATGATTCATATTTTATTACACGATTTAACAGAAAATTTATCAGCATATTTATCGGGTAAATCAATTAATTTTAACAAAAGAAATTGTCCTCTCGTTGGTCACAGAAGCAGTGATTCATATAAATATAGCAGTAAAGCTGATTTATAACACTGTTTAAAAAGACCAAAAAGAAGGTATTGCATAATATAGCACGCTAATGACTCAAGCATCTCCTAACAATCAGAAATGGATCTAAGGAGCGTGCTGCGATTTTCAATTAGTTTTTTATCCAGACAACACTTTCAGCGATAAAATTAATTTCAAAACTAAGTAACTATATACAAGTACAAATACAAACGAGTTGATCGTAAGGTATTGTATCGGTACAGTAGTTAAAAAAATATATATGAATTTTCATATGATGGAAGTGATGTGAGAAATCTTACTTCCGTAATAGGATTTTTGAGATACTCTGTTAGTATCTTATTCAACGTTTTCATAAATTCCTCTTCCGACATCGGAGGTTTGCGGCTACTAGAGGTAGATTGTGAGGATTTTAACGATGATGGCATAGAACTGCTTTGACTCTGTGAACTATCTAATAACGAGCTGTCTCTAATCGACGATGAACTGCTTAATTGATGACTACCATTACGTGAACTCCTACCATCTGTAACATTTAAAATACATTCTTTTTTACGTTTGAATCGCACAACCAGTCTGCGCGATCAATAATTAGTAGATAAAATATCAGAATCCTTTTGGTAAACAACATTAAGTTACACTTTTCAAAAATGAAATATTTCTCATCACTGAACAATTGCTTTTATTATGTAATAATTCAGTAAATAATTATCTAAAGGTACACACCATAGGAAGGTTTGTAGTCACGACCATACTCTCTAGGACCAGTAGATCTCGATCTGAAATTAATCAAGTTAAATATTAATTAAAAAGTGCATATTACTTCGTACATGTAACTGTTTATTTCTTAAATGTCAGATGCGTATGTAAAATCATGTAAGAAGATATCAGAAACTCTAGCCTGGTAAAAATTTCATCACTATATAACTAACTATATAACAATTAAAACGAAAATTTGGAGTAGAAAAAAATTTACCCAGAAAGTTGGGGAGACATTATTTGTTTATCTTGATCTAAAATGGGCATATTTTGTAAGCATGCAAATTTGTTTGAATATACTGCCTTTGAACCACAATTCGTAGGCGTTTTCCACATGTACATATTTCTGCTACCTAATTGCAGATCATCCATTGGAGGCTAAAAAAATAAGTCATTACTTAATATTTATTTTTCTACCAATTATAATCAGGATAAAAAGCGTAAGTTTTAACTTACTGGTTTATTTTTAAGTTTTGCTGTTTCAACAGTATATGGTTGTCTTGTTCTTACAACTGGACTCCAACCACTATCATCAATTAAACCAACACCACCTGCACCACAAAGCATTATTGCGTGAGTACGTGGTAATTTATAAAAAATATATATATAACACAGTGTAAACTAATATGTCAGAGTATACTATACAATCATTTCTGTCAGAAACTCTAGTCTGGCAAAAAATGTATGAGGATCATCATGCTATGAAGTTAGTGAATCATCGTATTTGGAAAGCAAAAACATATGATTTTGTAACTGAGTCTCTGAAAAGCCATTCCGATCGACTCCATTGTCTATAAATTTCTTAATTTTAATATTTAAATTGTCATTTCTCAATTTTAATATTCATTTTTATGTATTTTACGAATTGTTATATTAAACTTACATCTTCAACAATTTATTACGCAACATCTATGTCCTCATATGTTAAGTAAAATTTAAAATAGCAATGTTAATAATATTGGCAACTTTCACTGCTGTCTGTTCCATTAGAGTTAATCTGTTTGGCTTCTCAGAGGCTTAATCGTGGTGTTTAACAAAATATTTAACAGTAAATTTAATCGATACTTACGATTTCTTTTCCTATCACCAGGACGATCATCTTTTCGAGGTGTATTCAAAGGAGTATTATTCAATTGGCTATCTAATCTTTCTGACTCTGCATCCTTCTGAATTTGATCTATTGTTTTAGGGGTACTATCGATCCTTCTTGGAACCCATTTTCTCGCTCTTAAATCTATGATATCTTGCAGCATAAAACGAATTCTAGAACTAATTTTTCCCGGCCCTCGCCGTGCAACAATATCGTGCATTTTACTGATATACTCTTGTATTTCCTAATAAATACGAGAGAAATAATTAAAAAATTTATTTGTAAATAGTTAGTAAATAATTTTTCTTTCTAATTTTTATAGATGATGTCTTTATACATTGCAAAATCCTGAATTGAACATTGAAAAAATCTTACCTCTTCGGATTTCAATTCCAATTTGTTTCCAATTGTTGCTAACAACTTGCACAAGCCCTCAAGACTGTCTTCATCATTTTGATGTAGCAATTGTTGTATGCATGTATGCATAATTTTAGTAGGTATCATATCTTGTTTATACAGTTCACCGATAAACCTATAAATAAAAGAAAATATAGTATATAATTTCGAAGTTTTGTATTCGTCGTAACAAGTAAACTTTCAAGAAATTAATTACCGCATATTTCCTAATGATTTTATACGTAGTCGACGTTCCTCATCTTCTAATGCTACCTGTAACTCTTTTTTCTTTTCCTAATGTTAAACACAGTAGCAGTTAGAATACACAAATGTTTCAACTAATTGTAAATTGTACTTTAAACCTATCTTACAATGAAAACTTACAGGATCTGTGGATTCATCAATTTCTTTAAGCCGAATACTTCTTGCCTCTTCAGTTATTGAATTTCGTTCGTATTCGGCTTGGCAACGGCCAACTATAAGCTTTCTGAAAGTGTACGAACATTCTTGGGTGTCTGAAGAACTTTTGTCTCCTCCCGAGACCTGCATCGTAGAGAGTTCTTTACACATCAATGCATATGCTACAGAGAAATTTGGTTCGTCGACAGCCTAGAAATCATATAGTTATATAAGTGACAGATGTAAAAAAACCAAGCAAGTAAATAAATATGTATAAATATACAACTTCACTTTACCTTTTCAAATACTAAATTGATAACACCTTGCAAACGCTCCGGGGTATCAACATTTAATGCACGCACTTGGTCAATTAAAGTATTAAATTTCTGGGGTGTGAGTTTATTCAATACACTCCTAACTCTCTTATAAAGAAGCTCTGTCTTTGTTTCCTCTTCAGTGAGAGCAGCTGCTTTTAGTCTCATCGGTTTCCATGCATTTTCAGTTTCTCTTAATTTTACATCTTCTTTCAAGGATAATGACAGGTGAATAACATTTGGTTTCGCTGGCTTAGACGATTGTCCTGAACTGCTCTTACGATTCGTCGATCTTAACTGAACGAAGATAAACAAATTGTGTGTTAAGATGTGAACATGTACCATAGATGTTTTATAAACTAAAATACACATGTCAGAATGTAAAATCTCTGTCAATGTAATTCAGTCCACTACTTTCACGTTTAACATCATTCACTGAAATTTGAACGAAAGTTTAACTTGTACCTCTCAACTTCATTGACTTACCGTTCGTGTATTTACAGTTGGTTTTATAAATCCAGGAAATAGGGCATCGTGTCTGCTTACGTTTATATCTCTAAATGATCTAAGGTCAACAACGGGGCGTGCCTGTGAGAATCGTAGTTATATGTAAATATAACAATTCATCTACAATTCGTATATAAACAAACGAAAAAAATGAAATCTGAGTTATTACCTTCGGACCATCTTTCAAAACAACATCCAAATCTGGCAAATTCGAAGGTTTGATTTTGCTATTTGGATCATCCTGTAAGGTCATTAAGAACTCGCGATCGTAAACCTTTTTACCACTTTTATTTATGGGACTCCATTGATCATCCCTGTATTTGTATTTCAGGGTTATCTGATTTGTTACAGGTCCCTCCGTTGGAGCTGATGGCTCGATTTCAACAGATTTTTCTATCACCGGAGGCCCTACTAGTTTCTCTTCGCTAGGCATTCGAATTGCCGAGACCTTCGAATTTTCCTCATTCTTTTGTGCTACTATTGCTTCCACGTCAGACTCATCTTTCATTTTTGCATGATCGACAACGTCGGTAGGAACTGGTTTCGCTTGTATATTACAGACATTTGTTTTATTGTTATCTTCTATTTTGGGAGAGGGTTCCTTTACAATTTCCTTGTTACTTGGCAGTTTTTCTATGATAGGCGGTTGCACGGGTGGGCTGCTCTCTTTCAGAATTTCAGGTGTCTGAGGAGTCATATGTTTTTCTGTCTTCGCAGTAGCGGAAGTGATATCCTTCTCCTTTTTTGATTCATAGTTATCATTTTCCTTGGCATCTTTCGTTATCTCCCGGCTTGCTTCCTTGTTGCTGTCCTTCGCCCCTAAAGACTCTTTACTTTCTTGTTTTGTCTCAGTTTTCGCCGGCGGTACTGTGTTCACGAAAGCATCCATATCTGTGCCTTCTTTCTCTGCTCCCTTACGGTTAAGATCGCGGGGCTTGAGTTTGTTTTTGCTCTTTTGCTTCTGCATGGCTTTACCTTTAAAAGAAAACGATACTTTTAGGTTAATCATACTCAAGGCAACGTATTCTCCTATCTTAATTGACGTTTCGCATAATAAATCTTGCGGGAAGCTTTAGTACCACCCACACAAAGTATTTACAATGGACGTCTGCGAATCAAGATAGGCGTCAGTTTTTTCTTTTTTTTTTATGAAAACCAGTGCAAAATGTAGAGCCATGGTGTGTATTAAAATAAAACAGATAAATTGTAACTACATGTGTTTTTAAATTCATCGAATGCCATATCCATTGTATTATAGTATTTACAGTATCCTTAATAATATTTGTAATATACACAATACAAAAGTATATTAATTCAGACGCAGTTAAAATTTTCTCATTTAACTGACGTATAATGTGAAAGGAACCCATAAAACGAGACCTGAATATCTAAAGATACTTAATCCTTAATATCGTTTTTTATAATAAAAGATGAAGTATTAGCGGCTAATATGCAGAGCTTTATATTTCATAATAGGAAATGTTTCATAATGCAAAACGCGAATGTTCATACAAAATCATCGTTCCATTGACATCGCTACAGAGAGATGTAAGCTGTGAAGAAAAGTGAGTATTTCGGCTACAAGCCAAGGATAATTATAGTCACAGATCGCAGTACACTTCACTGCGACATTTCACTTTTTCATTAATGTGTACACGAAATTATGGACGACGTCATAGAATTCAAAGTCTTTCACAACGGTTACATATCGTTACTAAGGCTCGAGAAAAAATTTTAATTTTTTGTTCCACGTCGTTTTGACGGGAAATTGTGTCTACCAACTGTCTATTCAAACGCATTCGTCCGAACAATTTATACAACAATTAGCTGTAACGAACAAAGAAAAATCACAACTGCATTATATAAGATATTTCTTTATTTTCTCGCGAAAACTGGCTAACCAGAAGTACAAATATTTGTATCAGCGAAGTCTGTCATCAGACGTAGAATTCGTTTTATCGTCACTGGGTGCGTCAGTTTGTCATGGGAAACTGAATCAAGTAACAGATGATCTACACCTTGGGGCTACGACACTGGGATACGACGTGCGGCTATAAAAATCTACGAGAGTTTGGAAAATTGAGAACTGTTCTTCCCATTTTTAACACGTGTTTAGCAGTCGTTACTGATCGTACTCAAAAGATACAATTACTTATGTACCATGATCTCTGGAACCCCGTCGATTACGACTCCTCGATCGAGAGCTACTGCTGACACGAGCGCTGCCATTAATTTTGCGATCGCCCATTTTCACGATATCCGAAATGTTGCGTTGCGCGGCACTGTATTATTTACACGTGTTCGAACCACGGTGTTGTGTCTGTTCTTTCCAACATCAGAACCATATCGCATATTAACGAGTCACATTCTCACGGCACAAAACTCTTTGTGCGGCTCGAATTTCAACGGCCTGTATGCTGCCTGATGCTGCTGCTGCACTGAATCAGTATTTATTTATAAACCTGCCAAAAGCTTGCCAAAGTCGGGGTAGATAGAATCATGCTCGCAGATGCAACAACGCGCAAACATGAAGTTCGCATATCGACCTTTTTCTGCTTCAGCGAAACCGGGTAACCGTCGCAGATAATGGGGAACACGAAATAGTACGGAGTATCCGGCAAACACAGCGCGTAAAACACTTCGAGAAGAAAAAAAGCCCTCTCGGAAGCTCGTCTTACGACTTTCGCACAACTATTTTAACCTGTGAACTGGTGCAAACCAACAGGCACGACACAGGATTTCTTAAATTAGTTCTGTTCGCCGGTTGAGCGCCGGGGCACGCGCACTAGTGTTTTTCTGACAACCTAACCCGACGAGGAGCTCTCCTAATCGAAATCTATCAAACGGGAGGATCCACGAATTTCACTATTAGTGCATCACGAGTAATTGAAGGTGTCGTTTAAATGAACTAGTTAAAAAGAACATTGAATATAAAAAAAAATCTTTTCAAAATGGCGATGATCATGACAGTGAAACACGTTCAAATACTTCACATTCAACACTTTCTGTCTGCCATGTCACCCATATTTGGCTAACGCATACCGTTTCACAAAGGCTCTGTGGATCACAGATAGGTAACTCAAAAAGAGTATCGAATAAGTAATAAGAAACTAGTTACCTATTTTTTTTTAAAAGAATTTGAGAATTCTAATTACGAAATGAAATAAACATTTCGAATGAATGAACACATACACCAACTGTTCAATCAGATTAATTGTTTAAATATCGGAATGAAATGTTACTGTTTCTTTTGTATGCATTTATAGGCGATGATATTATTTACTTAATAAGGAATAATTCCACTGTGTAAATAATCAGGTATAATTGTGAAGACAATAAGCTTTTGTAGTTTTAAGTAGCAAAGATACATAGAATCTGTCTTGACGCTATGAACAATTCCTAAAACAAAGTACGCTACACTATGAGACAGCAGTTAATTCGATGCATGAAAGTAGCTTGAGTAAGATTTTATAAAAGCAGGTCGAGGTAACAATCTCAAAAGTACATTGAATGGTCGCTAAACCTGTACGTAATATTTTCTCTACTTTGCTGTCGTTACTAAAATTGGTATTGCACGACAAATCCAAACGCCAACAACTGTAATACTCTCCTTGTTATTTTTTCGTTGTAAAATATAGTATTACAGTGCGCTACTTTAGATAATACATGAATAATAAATTATGGGCCACGTTTCTCCTCACTATCTTAACAATTTTATACTTACATAATGCTACAATATTTAAGACATTAAACTTCATAAATAAATATTACTTCATTTTGCATTGATGTTTTTAAACAATGCACATCAATTTTTAGGAACAAGAAATAATATCATTTTTAATTATCATTAAAAAATAGTTGTAGATGTAGAATAAATTTATTTGTAAATTATTTGTAAATCCTACTACTTTGAAAAAGACCCACGTTCAACAATTCTTCGATCCGTTTATAAAATAAACAGTACGATCATACAAGTATTTATGATATGTACGTTGCTCACGCATAAATAGTATATGCAGACTGACTATGTAGTACGATCATTTTTCTAACCAATGAAAACCTTTCACTCGATTGGTGAATGCTCAAGGTTGCCACTGACGCCGAAAGTCTTGAGATATTTTTCGCACACGCATGACGCGTGCTCTTGTGAAATGACAGTAACAGAGACATCCTAACCATGCATGTAGCCCAACGTACACGCGCGACCATGACCCCACGCGTTTTAATGGCCAAAAGTACGCAAACATCCATTTTTTACAATTCCGTACACGAAGTTAAGAATACTATGTATATATTATATCGATACTTATTAAAAGCCTGAAAATGTTTAGAAGTTCCCACAATGGAAAAATGGAGTAAAATGGGAGTTTTCCGTGGGAGGTATGTAGTTCCGCAGAGGTCCACCTTTCAATTTTGATAAAACTTTGTAAAATTGTGTTAAATACTCCCAAATGAACATACATAAAAGATTTTTGGACGTATTTGAAAATTAATATACACAAATAATATAATAAAAATGTATAGTGTTCCATATACATATATATATTTATATGTGTATATTACATTTTCAAATGGGCCAAAAAATCTTTTACCTATGTTCATTTGGGAGTATTTGAGACAACATTATCCTAACCGCAGCCTTTCCCATTATACTTGCTTCATAAACTGATTATACAACAGAATTTTTCGCAGAAATTAATAGAACGTCTTCAGACAAATTTTCTCGATTTTATTTTTATATATTTTTATTTTAAATAAAGTTGCGTGTAATATTTATTGCATCTTTCTCAATCATTATTACGTACTCAGAATATGAATGAAAATAAAAAATACGTTCACAAATATGTCTCCGTGGCAATGTCTATTTCTAAAAGACGTGCTATTTCCTTCCGCTACTCCTTTCTGTGATCATTTATGTAGATCGAAGTGCTTCGTCGTAATATTACTAATATTATATTAGTCTTAATTTATGTTCAGAGAAAGTGACAAATATGTATTCGAATTTCCGCCATGTGTCTACTATACCCGCTTTTCTAACTTGCTTTGAATTAATTAATACATAAAATATTTGAAAGTAATTTATTACATGAAAAAAATCGACACAATTCCAACGAAAATATTTATTCTGTAAAAACAATGAACGGAAAATATGAAAATAAAACGGCATGAACAAGAACAACGAGATTTAGTTATAATACATGTAAATTAATGATGAAATATGGAGTAGTTGTCTTTCCAGGCTGCTCACAAAATGGCTACAAGTTTGGGTATTTCCAATAGAATAACGATATATAGAATTAATGTAGATTAAAATATATCTATATAATTATAATACCATATAGGCTAATGAAAACTCAATTGAAGTCACGAATTGACTTTCCTAATTTGGGTGAACGTAAAAATGAAATACTTCCATGATAAATTATTCCACGTACACGTGGTTAAAGCATAATAGATAATATATAATCTTCTTTTCACAATTACAACGAAAATTTAGTAATAACTGAATCTCCCAATTTTCGTACACTGATTATACGCTCGATTAAGCAAATATTAATGGCTTAAAGTTACAGAAACTCATGGAAATTAAGCATACACCTAGTCACGTTCTGGGCAGCCATATTTGAACACACTCGTGAATCGACCTTCGAAAGTCGTTTATGATTTACTTTTTTCTGCAAAAAATCTAGGACAACGTGAGAAAAATACGCGAAAAAGTAACCAACCGTAAATATTTACTTCAATGTTTGAATATTAGAGAATATATCATACGAACCTTCACGTTCGTGAAGGTCTGTATGTACAAAATGTCGGAACCACGTTGCGAACGACGCAGCATGCCCGAAGTCGTGGCTACTAGGAACGGAGCGATTCCAGAGAAAGTATTAAATACTTTATACATACATTTCGAATAAAAATCGTCCTTGGTCGTCGTCGTTGCATCCGCTTGATCACTTTATGTCACAGTAAAAATAATTTATAAAAAAAAAAAAACGTGGCGCAATAAAAACGTTATCTTTTAAAGCCTTTATATGGAATTTCGAAATTCCAGTGTAAAAATAGTATTATACACAAAAATATGTACATAGAAGGGGTAACGATGCGTGTAAAGAGCGCTCGTTAGGATTAAATAAAAAAAGATATATTCACAATATCTGTGAAATATCGCGAGATATATGTAAGTCTTATAGGAACGGACTGCAGTAAAACGCAATATAATAAGCGTATTCGTTACGTGTAATATATAAAAATTAAAAGCAAAGTAGTGTAAATTTAAATGTGTACTTATGTATAATTATGAATATACAATTCTTGAATTAAAAAAAAAATAAAAGGAAAGGGGGAATGGGCAAAACGGAGTAAAAATGCGCCCGGCTAGCACAGCACGTGCTGGCTACTGGAGGAAATTCGTTGTTCGATGAGGAAAGAAACCGGGATCCTCCCTCCAGCTAGACGATCGCCAACATTCGTGTATCTCCGACATAGTTCGCGCCTTTTCGTACGATGATGTCACCGTCTGGCACGAAGCTCCTTTCGGAGTTCCTGTGCTCCGCGTTTCAATCATTGTAGAAAGACCCGTTCATATTAAAACCGTTCATTCCGATAGACTACGAAATGTCTGACTTCTGATTCATATTCGAATTTTTTTATAGGATTTTGTCTGAACAATGTATACAGGAATAAAAAATTTTACTGATCTTCCTATGTCACTTCAATAACCCACCCATTCCTGCAGAATAAAAGTTATATAATAAGTGATTACAAAGTTATAACTTTCTTCCAATATTTTAAAAGTAAATTTACTGACCATAAGAAGAAAAAGGTTCTTGTAAATAATATTTTGACTATAATAAAAATTTATTTTTATTTTAACTCACTAACTCACAGAAGAAAACAAGAAATACTTTCCATTTGTGATAGGACTTATCTATGTTCTCTATACAAACGTAGAACATTGTAGAGATTGCAAAGACAATTCAATTATTTACATATAATTTGCTAAATAAAATGTTTAAAATAACCTGTATTTCATTTATGAACAAGTACTTTATCTATTTCTGTAGTGTATACTGAAGAATCAATTGATTATAAAATTTTATATAAGTAGATTAAGATTTTGTTATTTTTTTATATTGACAGATAAATAGAAATGGAACATCTTTAAAATTTGTCCAAATGTCAAAATGTCAAAATGTTTTCATGGATTAATTATTTGTTACATAATATGTACAAATAGTCAAATAAATGTTTCTCATAGTTATAAAATAATTTGGGAATAAAATTGACATACAAGGAAAACAAAAATTATATTATAATAGATTCTTGTGTAATGTCCTGATAATTAGAAATGTGTAGAACATATTTTATTGCTTCAAAATAATTATATTCTATCCGATTGAGAAAGTAGAATATAATGGAAACAAAAAATATATTCTATACATTTCACATATATGCAAATACCTATGAACTTACCCTTCTTTTTATTTCCCATTTTGATGAGTATACACAGTAAAATTAAGTCCAAATCGTTTGTACTTTTGCTTCACTTTAACGTTCAAGCATAAGATACTTATTAATTCTTTTTCTTAAAGATGTTTAAGATTTAATTTTCATATATATTAATATTGCAGAAATCAAAGCACTCTTGTATCTGAAAAATTTTAGTTCGCCAGAATACAGAACAGTATTCAACCATTTCAAATCAGAAATTCAATGTATACACTTAACACAGTTTCTCTTCTTACTTAAAAATATATATGTATGTCCATATTAATAATACAGACACTTAGATGTATCATACTGATCTTTATAAGATCTTTATACTTTACACACTCTTTTTAAAAACGTTTAATGTCTTTTGTATGTTTTTGCACAAGTGTAAAAATAATCACTAAACGCACACTGTTCGTAAATGTGTGTCTGCAAATCAATAAACTGAAGATCACCAACGAAATATTTAGTCCAAAGAAACACGCGACACAACTGCGATGTTAAGGGCATGTACAAGAAAGTATGAAACTTAGAGGTTAGGACGATAGCGTAACGTATTGCGATGCCACCGAAATATCTGTCGACTCTTGTTCATAATATTCAAGCGACACAGTTGCACGACGTTACGTTTCCGATAACAGACTACTGGATAAAATAGACTCCACCGAAATATTCTAATTTGTTCGCACGTGCGTAACTTAGATACGTTTGTCTTATACGACCATGCACACGTGCCTATATAAAGGCATCTTTACGGATGTGCAGTGTTCGTATCAAGATTTTGGACAAAATTCGAAGTCAATATGGATACTCGAGGCACATATAAAACAATGTATTGACCGAATTCGAAGCTAATGATTATTTGCATTCAGAATTATGGACAACGACGATTATTAAAGCTATCGTGAAAGCAAAGTTCAAACTACTCTGACACGGGGAAAGGGGTGGAAAACTATCATACCTCGACATTCATACCCTAACCTATAATAACCTTACTTTCTCGTATATGAGAATGTTCAAGGTTTTTTCTCGTGAAGAATTAACACGTTTCGTAACATCGGTGGTATACGCTGAATTTTCCATTCAGATCATTTGATATGTTCAGCATAAAAAAGTATGACTTATTATGACATATTCCATACTATCATTGACTGGTACATAATTACACCTCATAAGACGGAACTGATCAACTCTATTTTCTACAAATTTTGTCAATTTTATATGTATTTGTTATGTATCTATTATTAAGTATTTTACATATTATAACATAAAACGTTTATTTTACATAATGTACTATATAGAGTGCTTACAAACGATTTCGCATGTAAAAATAAGTCTATATTGTACCAAAAAATTTGTTTCGCATGAAGATTAATTTTCGAAAACATCCAATTTGAAAATTCATTTGATACACATATATACAGTTGACTATTGTTAGTAAAACTTTATACTAAGTAAAAAAGCATGAAAAGAACAGATATGTCAACCAAGTCATGTGGAATGACATGTGAACTTGGCAACTGTTCAAAATACCATTTTCTCAAAAACAAAGTCTAAAATAAAAGAACTTGATTTTATGTTTTCCATTCATTTTTACATAAAGCATAGCGTACATGCATTTGTATGATCAATACTGCTGCACCTTGTATAATTTTTATTTCTTCTTTATGAAATAGGTAAAATTTATTGAACATTATGTAAAATATTATTTATTTTTGTTACTTTGCGTTGTGTAGATTTGATCAGTTTTGCTTCTAAAAGGTTCAATTATCATATACATATACCAAAAACAACATAGACGATCAGATTCTAGTAATTTTTCTAGATAGAATCATTGAATTTTTTCAGTACTCTTACCTGTTGTAAACCATATGTGAAAAATTTAGGTACCCAAGTTGTAAGAAGTTAGACTAAATGAGTAGCAATGTCTTGTGTTAATTATTTCAAAACTTCATCGGTGCAAAAAATGCATTGTAATAAGCGACCTTGTGCAAAAGTTGTTTAATAAGAAATACTTGATTTGTTTTATAACATTATGTACCTTTATAGATTCTATACTTTTCATTTTTCCTGTTCTACCATGTTCTGTATGTTTATCTTGAATTAGAAACTGTTTAAACAAACTCCTTTCTTTTGATCATCAGTGCCTTTTGTATGTCTCCTTCTTCTACATAATAATAAATTTTACAATCTCATAACTATTACGAAATGAATATTGCTTGCAAAGATAATAACTGTGCCTGTGATCGCCATTGATGATACACGTAACCTGAATGGAAAGTTGTGAAAAAATAGCGTGGCACGGAACGTGTTAATTAAAAAAAAAAGAAAAGAAAAGAGATAAATGCAGAACATAAAGTACATGTCAAATATCTTTAGTAACAAACACAGAAATCAACGAAAATGAAAGAAATGAAACAAATGTCAATGATTCATTAATAGTAACATGTTCATACACTAGTTATGAACATAAGTGCATATAAAATAGATTGCACATCAAATTTAGAATAACACATTATACAACAAATGTAAAAAATGAACACAATAACATATTACTTATTTAATGGTTAATGGTTCCTAATTACTGTAACATGGTTTCTGTGTTTATCATAATTAAAAATATTTAAACAGCTCTTATACATACCACAAAAATATGTAGCTATTATTGTTACATGTAAGAGTATTGATAAATCTTAAATACAGGGAAGAAATTAATTTTTGGTTAAATAAATACTCTAATGTTAAAGATTTTACGAACTTGACTACTCCATCCTCTAATATCTAATTCTTAAATGAAAGTATAGTTGAGAAAATCTTATAATGTGTAATCAGAACTCATGTTTGTTGCGACATTCATACTAATGGAAGGAGAAAACCTTCTAATTGTGTTGCCTTGTTCGACTAGCAGTGAGACTACTGTAATATGTTACTGATTGATCTTTTTCTTATATTGAATATCATGTTGAAAATGTGATTTTAACAAACAAATTGCTGAAAGTTTTAATCAGTAGTCAACGTGTTGAAACAACACAAGAACCAAATCAATAATTATAAAATTTAGAAGAGACTTACCATCAGATGATTTCTGTTGCTGAAGTTCGTTTCGAGGGGGTTCAGGTTCTGGTTTGTCGCCAGTTGCATCTCCATTGGCCTTTGGATGATGGTCAGTCTGATTGTGAGTAGGCGTTGGAGTAGCGCCTCTAGAACTGAGACTCTTCTCCCTTGTTTTCTTTTCCTTTTGCTCTTTGGCACTCGAATGCAGCTCCGTCGCAGCAGCGGGTTGATTGTGAGTGTGTGACTGAGATTTTCTTCTAGGTGGTGAACTCGATAAATTCTTATTGGATAAATTAGGGAACGGTTCTCTGGCAGGAACGGGGTTAGCACTTGGGGCAGTGGCGGACGGTTTAGGGACCTCCGCAACGTTCGTACTTGGTGCGGTCGTTAAGGGAACTGACGTCTGTGAGATAGTAGGCGAGGCACTCGTACTCTTCACCTCTACTTCAGTTACAGTCATCGCGGATAGCTGCGCAGAAATATCATCCTTGTTTACATTACGTGGTGCAGCTGGCGGTGGTTCCTCAATAACCACACTTTTTATTTCGCCTCGTGGTTGAAATTCCTTCACCGGAATTTGTAGCGGTTTAGACTCCGTTTTCACCGCACTAGAGTCTATTTGAGGCACGTTACTAACGGTGCTTAACGATGAGTGACTACACAACGACGCGGTTACGGTAGGTATATTTTGCGTTGGTGAACTGGTACTACACTGACTGTTCGCATCGTTAGTAGAACTCGTTTGAGAACTCGGTAAATTTTGCGTTACGTTCGGTATCGTGGTTGTGTTTGGTAGACTACTAGTCGGTACCGTCGAGTCTGAATTGGACTCTTCGGTCGTGACTTTCACTAGTGTTTTTGCAACCCGCGCCGCAAAGTCGGCTTGCACCTCAGGGTCATTGTTCTGTAACAATCACCAATTCTGCGTGATAGACAATGATACAGAGCAATCGAATTAAGATTATGCTTGACAACTAAAAACTGGCTCCAAACTCAAATCATAGGATGAGAAATGAAACCAAATGTACTAAGATAAATAAAAGAAACGCTCAATACAGTTTATGTTTCTGCCACTCTTCAGCCACAGTCTATAAAATATATGTATACACAATTATTCTCGATTCTTCAAATATACAAGGCATTTCGTAATAAAGAATACAATCTAAAAAAACAATTTTTCGTAAATAATTCATTGAACATGTAATAAATTTTTCTTACGAAGACCTTAAAATTCCTTGCTACAGAGTTTCAACATTATACATCAACGTTACCACAATAAATATGATATTAACATTATCTGGAAAATGTTCAAATGTATCATTTTTTTTTAACGAAAGCTTCTTCTACGGAGAAAAATGAACTTTACATTTCTCAGTTCTGTTTTTAAACAGAATTACCACCTTTCAAATTGTACCACCCCTTTCGAAACAACCTGTATATATCAAAATCTAATACTGCAAAGTTAATTAAATATCATTAAAAATTGAAAAATATGAAATGATAAATTGAAAATAGAAATATTGGTATAACTATGGCTGCTGAGCACAGATACCAATAATATAAACAACTGACTAGAAGAGAATATTAATCACATACGTTTTGTCTTATTTATTTACTAAGTTAAGTAACATTAGGGTAATATTGTTATGCGACGTGAATTTGATAATATTTTCAGTATAACACTCTTGTAGTCAATTGTTAACGAATTAATGTTCCAACACAACTCACCTGTGGCTGAGGTGTTTCACGATTGCTAGATTCACCACTCTGAATAGTTTCGTTATCCTTGTAAATTTCGTCACTAATATTTTTACCAGTTGATGGATCCACAATATCCGTTATAGCATTTTGTCCTCTTGGTTTCCGCGATTTTATCGTACTATTCGTCGTATTTGTTGCACCACCATTATGGCCTGAGTACACATCTGTAAATCATACAACACAATTAACTCACTATATAACATGCCAAATATTAATATTCCCATTTTTGTGTTATTGTAATAACAATACAGTAAACACTTCATAGATGGTGCACATCACTTGACACAAACTTGCGTACACTTATCAAAACACTCACCGCCATACATTCGATACACATTATTTACGACATACATTGCTAAAAATTGAAAAAATAACGACTACGTAAGGATATTAATTACGGATTCGTCTCAAAAAACTTAAATGCATTGCTTAAAATTCAATACAGTCTGCTGTAAGTACAAGCATGCAATGAGGATCTGTGACTTGTCTCTTCCCTTGCTCAAGGAAGAACTGAACTGATACAAGATTTTGCAGTGAACATTCCGGAGGGTGGACTTAGGGATTTACCTGAATCTTCATACCTGAGCACAGGGATAAACCCATGGACAGGTGAAAAACATCTTAATGGGGGGTTCTAAATCCCTACTGTTATTGGGACTTCCACGTCATAAATCAAATCCCTTTCACCTTTTAGGTCTTAGAGAAATTGCACTTCCGTGATTTATATACTTTCTTTTCTCGGGATTTTTACGAGACTCGAATCTTCATATACAGTTACATCACAATTACTTGGTTTGCGTAACTTTATATAACCGTAGATTGTAAATAAAGTACTTGTAACAACTGTATGTTTATTAGCACCGGTTAGAAAATACTTTGGAATACATAAATCTTCCGTAACGTTTTATAAAAATAAAAACATACGCCGTATAACACTATAGTTTAAAATTTGAAAGCTATTTATAGGAACGAAGTTACAAGGTAACGCAGGTAAGAAATACTACTTCGACATTTTGAATTTATACGTGAGTCGTTTGCAAAGTTCTCGGACCAGAGTGAAAAAACAACTTATACCGTTTTTAAAATCTCTACTTTTCAATATAGCCCCTTTAAAATATCAATCCACTTGGACCAACGATATTCCAATTCTTTAAACCAACCTTGACAAACTTACATTGGAATTCGCTTCTAATCATCAGTTATTAGAAGACGCATCACACGACATAAAAGCACTTTTATTCAAGCAACTGTATACAAAATACTATGTTGTATACTGACTTAATTCTTTACAGTTGTTCATATAATGAATGAATATCTTCGATGAACTAAAAATTTCAGAAATACTGATGTCATCTACATTTCATTCCGAGAACTTTTCAAATGACCTATGTATATCAATATGTATAGTCCATATTTTGAAGTAACAGTGATTATTTTATGAAAAACATGTTACTTTTTACATCAAATATTTACTTCCGTATACTTATTCACATACCAATATTATACATGTGTTTCAAATTACTCGTAACTTACCAGTCTGAGAAAGAGATATACCCATCGAAGGTAAAGGTTGAGCCTGTTGTGTAGGTTGCTGAAGTGTACCTTGCGGTACAACTGGGGCTCCTTGGGCACCGGCCAGCGGGCCTGTAACATGTTGTGCCCCTCCAGTGACAGCACTTGCACCTGTCCTACTTAAACTTAGAGGTGTGTTCGCTGGTTGCCCATGGGTCCAATAATCTATAAAACAAAAATTAGTATGGATTAATATTATGTTTTTTCTCTATGCTATAACTATGCTACAATGGTATAGTACTTACAAGGTTGATGGGTTGGTGCGGGTGCACCATATCCAAACATATGTTGTGCCGTTAGAATGGCTGAATTTTGAAATGGTGTGAAATATGACTGATTTTGATGTGCCTGATGCCTCTGATGTGGACCGCCACCAAACTAAAAGTACAACAAAACTTATTACGCTTATGATTCCTAACGATATAGCTGATGGATATGATAATTTTTTTCTAAAATACAAAAAAATATATTTTGATCCATTAAAGTGAATAAATTATCTGTTTCAATACCAAAGCTAAAATTAGATTATCTTACTACTCTCGTTAATATTACATTATTTTATTAGATTATTAATTACTGCTCTCGTGATATGAACAAAATGAATGGTGCATGACAATAAGTATATAATATCAACAGTACTTAACTAGTACCTGAAGGGGTATTTGACTGTTCATGGGATATACGGACTGCTGATGTGGCCCAGGATGAAGATTCGGGACTTGATACATTGTCCCAGTTTGAACCGGCAAACCACCAGGATGGAATATCGCTGTTGGTTGGCCTCCACCACCACCAACTCCTGACATTCCAACCACCTGTGCACCGGTACCTCCTTGACCCCCCCTGTGACTAATACCTCTTGGTTGTTGTGGTCTTGCACCTTGTTGATAATAACCCTGGAATTGATATACAAGATATTAACAAATGCATTCACAACACGTTAAAAGTTTACTACTTTTACGTTAATAGGTAAACAAAAACCTCTCAAATAAATCCTACAAACGTCTTAAATATTAAAGATTTTACAATTGTTAATATATTTAATTACTTGTGAAGTTGGCCTTGTTTGTGTCGGCCCATACACCTGTGAGAGAGGTTGTGGTTGAGGTTGTAAATGGGCCTGTTTTCCCATTTCCTGTGGCGAAGGGGTATGCACGGGGGGTGTCGTAGTTGGTGCCGGACCTTGCGGCTGTTGTGATTGCACCCCGGGTGCCGGGGTTTGAGGTGGTGCTTGCCCTCCAGCAGGACCTCCTGGCGGTATACCTGCCGCCGATTGTCCTATGGACTGTAAGCCACCGAGCGGTGGAGGTCCCCTGCCCCCAGGTACTCCTACGCTACCCCCTCCCCCACCCACCTGGCCCCCTGGTTGGGTGCCGTAATTTTGTCCAGACACATGAAAGTCTGATCCTGAAATTAAAAGTGATATCGATAATTCAGTAATTCCGTTTGAAACATAAAAAAAACAAGCGAATACCGAAAATTTTTCACATTGTACAGTAACAGTAAATAATACAATAACCGTAACATATATCGACTTATTTGCTATTCATTGCGTTTGTAAAATACTACCACTGTCCTAATTAAAAGATTCATGTAGATGTAAAAGTCCAAAAATATTTATTTAAAAAGTAGTTTACAATAATTCGAAACATTCTTAAGACTGCTTTAAAATTAACGCGAGTCGACTGTTGCACAAGTACATGTACGAACAGAACACGTTCCATCATTCAAAGTAAATGCAATCAAATAACGGATAAGTATAGCGAACTTTCATCCGCACGTATGAAATGTGTTCTAAACGACAATTCATCGTCATGATAAACAAGTTAATTATTTCTGCGAAAAAACCTGTTAAATTAAATATAATTGTATTTAGCGCAAGCATAATTATCGTACATTGCTTAATCATTTGAGTGCACATCGTAACTGCTTTGAAACTAAAAATATGGGAGTAAAAAACCCTGTACCATCTTGTTCCATACGCGTATTTAGAATATAAACGTAATCATACTATCCCGTATGCGTTTCATACGTGTCCAACGTAGTCACTCAGCGGAATAGCATCAACGGTTGTTACGAGGTGCATAATGACAATGATGCACCCATCCTTCGTTATCGTAGCTTATCTTACATATTAACCGTATTCATTTCTGCGATACTAAAAGAGAAAGAGAACAAAAACTGGACTCTGTTGTGCCATCAGATTCGCACATTTGCGATACATATTTTGTTAGCGTGTTCCGATCGCCGTTCGGTCGTTAAATGAATTACTCGTGAAAGCGATTCTGGGTGGTGGAATTGCACATTGCTTGACACGTCGTCGCTGTCTAAGAACTACAGAGAGTGCAATCAGTTCCATGTATCATCAAAATATCTCGTGTCCAAATTATCGTCTACCGAGGGGAAAACTACGAGTCCAGGGCTACGAGACGCGCAAAAAACATCTCAGAGTCTCTGACGAGATGTTAAAAGTGTTTTTCACCACATACTGCAAACTTATCATAAGAAAATACGTTACAGGTACAGAAAGAAGACAGATAAAAGAACAAAAAAACAAGCATGGATGGATCGTCGCTCACCGTAAAAGATCGTCACGGAGCTGGTTACCGTGTTTCGTCACGCAAATGCTTTGCCTATTCGCACGAATGTATCGTTACAACGAGAGAACCATGAGGTGACAGCAAGGCTTGAACGTGAGCAAAGAAACCGAGAAGACGGCCTCGCGAACGGCCATCTTTGCACATATGGGCAGGAGCCGAAGCAGTGCTGCTATCTGTAGTCCTGTAAGTGCATTGATTGCCACGAAAGGGGGGCGAGGCCGAACTCCATCGTCAGGGTCGTATTAAGTTGAGGAAGTTCCCCTAGTGCCCGACACAAGATTTTGGCAGAAAAAATCAGCCATTTATGTAACTATAAAGTCTACGTTCATATGAATCCAAAGATAACACACACAAATAACAACTACTATGTTTAGTTGTGTGTCATTCTGTTCATATCTTACAAGAATTATAAAGAAGAACTCAAAGTAGCAGAAGAAATTCCAAAATATGAGTATTTTATCATACAAAATTAAAAACGTAAATTTTATAAACTAATGCAAAAAGAATTACTCTAAAAGTTCTTTTGTTTTACATAATTCGACTGACTGATAACTCTGATAATATGCTTTGTTCACTGTTTCAAATATCAATAAAATATTGAGAAATGTTACGTTAGTCAGACATTGTTAAAACGTCCCTTATTGATTTTACAGTGTAACTGCCGACGTCAAATAACAAGTAACAAAGTATAATATTTTGTCTCCTATTAGAGTTATTCGGAGTTAGCAGTTTCCCTTTAGTACGAAAACACCTAAATTATATTGGAGAACAAAGTTTTATCCGATAAGTATTCACAAATGTCATATATGTAATTTTGCATGTTGAAATCAAATATACAAACAGAAAATTAACACTTTTACACCTTTAGAATTATTTATATGGAAATAACGTATTTCACTGACGTTTCATGATACTCATTAACGGAGAGTCACACATTTCTGTACTGAAAAGAGCAAGATATTGTTACTTTCGTGCGTTTCTAAAGTGTATGTTTGCTGATCTAAAACACATGCGTATCAACATAGTGAAAGAACGTGGCCTGAAAAATTCAATCCAGAATGCAATACGTCATTTCCGGTAGTAATTCTCTCCCTCCCTGATTCTGTCTTTTCCACTCCCCTACTTCCACCAATAAATCTCGAGATTAATATTATTACACAATGAGAGGTGTATCCTAGTAGTTTGATCGCGACTATAATTGTTCAATACGAGCACGTAGTTTGAGAATAATTTTGAAAATTTTAACCACGGTAAAAGCAGGCGTAGTAAGTTCGCATATTATACACGTGAAAGTAGAAGTGAGGTTAGGGCGGATCACACATCGACCACGTGGCGACCAATAAAGAACAATGGTAGCATGCCGAAGTGACAAAACGTAGAAATACGATATTACGACGGCACAAATGATTTATGGTAAGATAAAATGTCTGGCAATTTGCTATCAACTGTTGATCATAGCGGTGACATTTGTAAAAAATTGAAGAGTGGCCACATTACGGATCAGAAGTATCTGGACACTTTTTTATTTGTCACAAAATATAATACAATCTTCTTGTTTCCAGTTTAACCATATAGCAACATAATTAAAATTAAAAAATAAAATATTTCCTTTTACTTTTATATGAATTACTCTAATATCTATCTTAATGAAGAAAGGCTATAAAAACTATTTGAATATATACAGATCTCTTAAATAATATTTTAGATTTTTAGATTGCTTGTTAGAATTTCTTCAACCATACATCATCTACATCACTAAGTTTTTAAATAATGGGCTGGCTGTGTAATGCTGTAAATTTCTAGGCCTTTTCAACATATTTCTTATAACAGAATCAAGTGTGCAAATATTTTTTACAACTACTTCTTAACATTTAAGAATTCTCATTTCAATAAAAGCTATAATATGGTACATTTTTCATTGATCCAACTATGTCTTGGTGATAAGAGTCATTAAATCAACTTAAAATATTTTAAGTAGACTTATTAACCACAGGCAAAGAAGATTTTTATTGTATATAATCTTCTACAATGCAAACTATTATACATAATTTTAATAAAAATAATATTGAGAAATAAAGTCTGTTACACAATATAAGAATGCATACTCATTTTTACCTTCTTTAACTAATAGAAGAGAACAAACATGTGATGATAAAGCCTATCTATGATAGTATCCCTATGATAACATAAAACATTAGACAGTATTCATAGATAAGAAGATAATAAAGATTACTTTCAATTAACATTTTGGTAACCATTAGATATTGTTACGAGATATTCATCAAGTGTCCAGGAACTTCTAAGACATAGGATATAACTGAAATAACACGGTCGGCAGGTAGATTTCAAATGATAAACGAAGTTAATCTGACTCTTACTAAGCGTGTGAAAAAATACACAGTGTATTCTTAAGACCGGTATTCACATATTATCGACACGGCTATTTTCTCGAATCATATCTTGCTTTTGCGATTACGTTAATTTACTGAAAAAATAACCTTTTCTTATCGAAATTATCGCTATCGGAGTAATTAGTAAATTAATTTATGAAGTAAAATGAGTGAATAAGAATTTATATATCTGAAAAAGTAACTGTCGAGTATTAATCGACAATAAGTGACACGAATGTGGCCACGAGAGACGAGAATCGCTTAACTAAAGAAATACGAAATTAAAACGGTACAGTAAATACAAGCTGAGTTCAAATATATGTGAGAATAACGAATACTATATAAGTCATTATCCCATTCATTATTACATCAGAATATTATCACATTAAAATATTTAAGAGGTAATAAGAAATATTTATACATACAATATTGATGACATTCAACATTCACTTTTAGAGAAATGAAAAGCTTATGCTGCTTTATTATATTCGTCATCATTGAATATTTTCCGTCATTAGAAGAAAAAAATGAAGCGGGAAGATGCTTGGAATTGAAATTGTTATTAATTTAACGAAAAATAAACTACTTCTTGGTACACTTAATAATACAAAAGTGACATGTTCGAGAGTTTGCCATAGTATGATAAATTGAATAAGGTGTTTAACCGGAAATGACCGTTAGAGGAGTAGTAAGTTTTCGAGACAGTGATGTATCGAAATAACTAGCATTGTTGAATTTATTCGAAATGTTCCAGCGAAGGGAAGGTTGACGTTACCGTGGTGAAATGTATCAAGAGGAAAGAATCGAACGTACCTTCGCAACTGTACAAGGTAGAAGCATTTTATCGATTGACCTATATCGTGAATTGTCTACAATGCCGCCCAGGGGCGCTAAGGACTAACCTAAATTCTAAGCTGTCCGATATATCGATACGGTAACCGCTCGTAGATCACACGTCTATTTACCAACTGAGATTTCACTGGCAACACTTGTTATGTATCTCGATACAAAGGACATGAAATACGATGAAAAATACATGTATACTGGAAGTGATGTGTCACATTAATTATAAATTAATGAGTTTCGAAAACAAAAAAATATATAACTTACATGTAACTGCTTTATAATTAACAAGTGTTAGTGTTAAATATTATATATGAATTACTAACGAACAATAATACACTTGACATTATTATAAGAGAGATATCGTAAATTTATTTTCGCGGAGATTATTCGTTACAGTCCGAGCGTGTCCGTGTGGCCACAAATAGACCCAAACGGTTCGACTTCTGACAGATAGGCCACCAGGTCAAATTAACTACCTCCAGTGTGCTCGAAAATAACGGGCTACATTTATGTACATCTCTTTTATACGCACAGGTGCACAACACTTCTATACATATGCACTGACACGCAATGAAAGATTTACTGATTAAGAGAATGCCTTCGTGTAGTTGCTAACCAGTGTAAATCGAATACAGTAATGAACTCAAAGTAAAGAGTTTCGACTTGAACATATTAACCGTGAAAATAAGGAGTGCGCTCATAAAATATATATGGGATAACTAGAAATTGAAGCAAGATGTAACATCAATTCGAGACAATGCTTCCATTGGTCACGAAAATGTATATCCATGATGGAGCAAATGGAACAAATCAAAACGAATCTTTCATGTGAATGAAGCTCATGCACACATTCGTTTAAAAGTAATGCAAGCGGCAAGGATGTATTTACGATATAACCATTAACAAAAAATGTTCTACAAAACATTTAAAAATACATTACGCAGTTAATAAAAAATAATCGGTACTATTGATGAATTAATTTTTGACAATTGAAAATTTTAATATTATGTTTCCTTCACACTACGGGGATGAATAATTAAAAGTAAAACATGTCCTGAACCACCAGAAGACTATTTAATCAAGTGGTCGTTACACGTGGACATCTGCTAGCACGTATATACTTGGACGCAACGTATAGTGTACAGTAGTAAACGTAGTGAGCCCATAAACTCATAGGGTCCTCAGGAGTTGATCAGTTTTCGACATTTCAAACATTTTCAGAATTAGTCTAAAGGGGGAAGTCAGAAGAAGGGGTTCCCTTCACAGTACGCGATAACGTATTAGTGCCCTACTCTCATGATATCTAATGTTAATAATTGGACTAAAATCTCTCCTCATGACCCCGCTGTTTTTACTGTCACCAGAAACAAGAAAAAAGACATAATTTATGTCGATGGCAATCTTTGACTTTTGGAATACCGTGAGCATATACAAAACGCCTAGAAATGTTTTGCATGTACGGTCAAGTAACGAGACGTTCGACGTAACGAAATTGTGATTCCCGCCAGTACATACGACAAGTATTGCTAGGGTTTCAAATTACAATTCAACAAATTCCCTGATCAATTATTTAAATGGATATTCCGTGTTTTATTTTCGATCAATCTTTCCACTAGACGGAAAGGAGAATTTATTATTGTTAAACATATAATCTTCATCGTTCTCTTTCTCTCCCATATTCGTACTTACTGGTATTTGCAGTGACCACTCGATATTGAGGCGGTGCTTGTTGATGCTGGGTCTGTTGTTGTTGCTGATGACTCAAATGATTAATATTGACGGTCAGTTGATGATGGCTCAGCTGATGATTCAAGTGGGGACTTGGCGAGGGTGGTGGCTGATGAGCCGGATGCACGTGGTGATTGTGACCTGGCTGCGGATTTTGCGGATGGGGGGCCGAAAGGTGATGATGATGATGCGGCCCCCCGCAATGTGGTAGGAGACAGTGCATAGGTCCTACACCCACTGCGCCCTCCTTCGAGACGCCATATCTCGAAACCATTCTTCCTGATGTGGATTTCCTTTCTTATCCAGCGTTAGTTGCGCGTCTTGGCCGAAACGGTTGATCGAATAGCGAAAGAAACGATGCGTCGATAATTTTCTTTAAATAACGAACATATCAAGGCTCAAACAATCATTACTAGTGAACGCGATCATTAGAAACGAATGATGCATGAACAATTAATATACAAACGTCGAATTCTTTATTTCCTTTTTTGTTCTACTTATTCCGTTTCACGATTTATTCGTTCGTTCATGATCGTTAATTGCTGCGCGACTTTAAAGACACGCTGCCGTTGTGTTGCATAGAAAAAATGAAATTTTTGAATTTCCTTCCTTTGAAGAGCGTGAAGTTATTGCCAGCCTTGGTGCATTGAAAAAAAAACAGATAACAGTGCCGAATGGTTCAACGGTATGTTACCAACACTGTCTCCGTTGTCCACGAACTTCTCAATCGGCAATGCTGCACCATGATGTCATCGTCCACTTGATCAGCAAGCCCAACAAAGACCCTTATAAACGGGGCTTGTGTATCATAATTCTTGAATATGCCCTATAGTTGACAGGGGTCATTAAATCTATGAAGACACTGGCAGTTTCGTTGGCTTCTTTTTCTTTTCTTGAAATATATTTTAAAAATTTATTTTATCGTGTACGTACGTATCTCGTGTTTCGATTTTTTGTTCTTCTAACTTAAATTACTTTTCTCTGTTCAATCGCTATTGTTTCAGACGTCACTTGTTACGATAAAGAATGCAGGAGGCGTAGAAAGCATTTTTTTTGCTTTGTTTTCTAGAACTAATACTTCTCGACGATTAGAAGATGTAGCGATTGGATCGTTCATAGGTAAAAATTCGAAAGCCGACGAATTTTCTATGGAACGAACGAAAGAAATAAAGTGCCTTGACCAATGTTAATGCGACGATCGATCAATAGTCACCGAATTTTCTTGCCTTAAACGTGTTTTATAGACGAAGTGTCTGTACACACGATGATCCGAAAACAACATTTTCAACGAACACTTTTTTAAAAAAATAGATGCTACAACTTCACACATCAGATTCCATCGTTGGAAAAGCACCATTCACTATGTAGTTAATTTTCGGCTCGAATATGCCACGCCACCATATTGTTTTCGTGTCGTGTCGATGCATGCGATATTCCTCTCGACGCACTTACTCTCACGCTCGACTGTCAAAACTTGTCAGCATGGAGATGCACGAAGGTAGGAGACACGTTGGGAACGGACGGACTATCGTACCTCTTGCATGCCAAAATCGATATTTAAGGCTCGACCGGCGTCTCCCTGTTCGCGCCGCCCACTCCTACCACGGGAAACTTCCTGTTCGCGGAGCGCATACAGAGGTTATGTCTGGCGAGGATGTATCGTTGAACGAAATCAGTCGTGGGCACACACCAGCCCGATTTCGCCAGCTGGGCACATCCAAATTTTCTTCTTTGCGCGTTCCTTCTTCCCTATTGGATCACTAGGGGGAAGTCTCGAGACCGATGATCGGAGGTATTCGGCCGCGTGCCGAAAAGTTCCGAGCCGCGCGTTCTATGTGTAGTAGACTCTCTGTATCGAGATTTACGAGAATGATAAAAAGTGGTGTAGGTAAAGAAGTAAAAACGCTCACAACACGATGCACACAGACCGGCTCCGGTCACACTACAGAAATCGACGCCACGCGGCCCGGACACACTCAGAAAGTGTGCAGATAATCGAGACGTAAACGGGCAATCGAAACGGCGTCAAGTCGTTCCTAGGTTGCGTGAGAATTCTTTCACAGGCACCATGAGATTTTTTCCTGATGTTGCCCTTTCGTTTCGAGGATCTTGGTTTCGTGATAGTACACACAAATACTAATGTGTATTTGGAGAATGTTATGTAGTTACGTATTATGTTAATGCGGACAAGAGAGAAGAAATTCGACGATAGACGTGAAGACGAGCGTACCCTTTTGCAAGGGACGCTGCGTAGACTGATGCAGGCTAGTCCTTCTCGCACGACCTACGAATCGCGATCCGTGGCCCCCTACCCGTTTCGCTGAGCAACTAAGGAGCGACAGGATCGTGTAGTTACCACAAAAGTACCCTCTGATATTGCGAACCTTCAAATAAATTTTTAAAAATTCTTTGTTCCAGAATTTCTAGTGGCATAGTTCAATTCATTTTTGGTGATACAAAAAAAGGATTTATCTATTTTCTTTTTTATTATGAAAGTACAATATTAAAACCGTTGTAGGTAGTTGCATTATGAAATCATTACTGAGTTTATGTACTACAGTTTTACAGTGTAATTATTACAATGTAAAACTTATTTAATTAAATGATTATAATACTCATATTGAAGTTATTGTATACAGTGTTTAAAAATGTTTCTATTTTTTGGATAAATACATAGAATTGTGAACACTTTATAAAATAAGACTTTACTTATGAAATAAAATATGGTGTAATGCATAATGTTGCTTTAAATCTTCTGAAAATTAAATATTATAAATACTAAGTGAACGTATTACGATACGGTCCTGGAAAGTAGTCAAACGCCAACCCACACCAAGTTAAAGGTAGGTATAACCGCGTGCGCAGAGAGACCAGTGGACAGAGTGCAAAGCCCTGCGCATGCGTAATGGTCGTCGACATGGCAGACCCTTCAACTCGCATGAATGCAGTAGGCGCAGCCCCACACGACACTCGAGGGTAAGGTGACGTGCAGCCTTGTGCATGCGCATATATAGTCTATTCGCCTTAACTTTATCAAGAGACGTCACACCCGTTTGTTTGTACTTCGTAGTACAGCGAGAATCAAATATGCACTTTAACTACAATGCATGTTACATTTAATATTAATACGTTTTGCATTGTTTTTTTACAGAATAATTTGTCTACGGAAAATGACAGAAAAACCCAGGTGTATTAAAATTTGTTTAACTTTCAACACGAATTCAAAGGATGGTCGTAGTTAATTTAACTCTAGTGATCAAAACTTGTATTAAATAAAATCGCGTTAATTCAGGGTTATTATCTTTATTACTACAAATTTTTCTAATTTTACTTCAGGCAATGCATACATTGCTACGTCCTTATATGAATGCTCGTGTAATTCACGTGAATGAAAACGCAATGGCCTAATAAATACCTACACCGTACGATAAGAATTTCCTACAAAAGCTAATAATAAATCCAATTATTTTTAAGTCGGGTAAAGAATAGATATTAGGATTTAGGAATTTAACAAATTCATCAATTACAAAACCAAACAGTACCAATACTAATATGGCAATATTGCAATTTTGTTGACATCATGAACAATTTTTAAAATAGTATATTTATAATTCCATTTTAAGATTTTTCGAACGTCACGCTTATTAAATACTGATTAAGTATTATAACTCATTGGATATTCAGATAAGCATATGAACGTTTAAATTTACCCAAATCAACTTCAAAACCGATTATTAATTCGCAAATTAATTCTTACATGATATAAATTTTATAGCTGTTCAAAAATTATGCAAACATACTCACAATTTAATTATTTGACATTGAAATTTCTGTCCACGTCGCAATGAACGACGATTCTATGAATCAAAGTAATCTCATGATCATTAAGTAGATGGTACATCACTGATGGCGAGCATTTTTCCGCTATCGCTGTAAAAGATTACAGAAAGAGAGGTATGTTTCTTAACGGACAATCAAGAAGACGACAGACAATCGAGGAAACAAGAAAAGAGCGAGGAATCACGAAGATGCACGAACGTGTGCCATGTGTGGGCGAAAACGCACGAGCGCGTGGGTTACAGAAACACGAGGGGCGTGCTTGACTTCGTTGAGACGAGGAACAAGATCCGCGGAATTGTGTGTATAGGTTAGGTGGGTAACCCAGTTTTGCCGGTGCACCAGGCCAGACTGCAGCAACGCCGTTGAACGATCGATACCTATATGCACCTAGCACTGCCCACAGCCTAGATTCGTTTGTCTAGGATAGGTGCAAGAAGGGGAATGCGTGACCTACATCTCGGGAGGAGGAAGTACAACAAAATTATAATCTGATCGAAATTCGAAGATCATTTCCTTCAGCGAAATGAGCATGCGGTATGGGGTTATCACCGTGCACGAACACGAGTTACATTCATTTCACTTGATCTTAAATCTGTGTGGCCACCACGGGTAAAGTTTAATCGGGATATAAACTTTAATGCGTTCAGTATCACACGAAATTGAAGGTTCTTGGTAGGGCGATCGAAATAGAAAAGTATATTAATTACAATATGTTCTGTACAGAATGTCCTACTTCATTTTTTTGGAACAAATATGCCTGTAACCATTAGTTGAACGAAGAAATGTTTCAACTAAAAATTATCTCACTTTATAGAGGAATTCTATACCTTGAGAGGCTTCCCCCTCCCCCTCCTTGAAACAGAATAGCATTCATCTGAAACCCTTCTGGTAAATGATATCAATAATACAGAATACGTAAGATAAATTGTTACAAGTCAATATCTCCTGAATGAAAAACGTAGCAAAAAGTATGTGAAATATTTTTAGATGGGGTAACTTTCAAGTTCACGGATATCTTCTTAAATGATATGCTTCATTTTTGACCTCATAATTATGTAGTAGTCAGTAGTGCATACAAAAGTCAATGTCATAACGTACTTCTACGCGACCTTCAAACGATCTCGACTGGTGCAAAGTTTTCTTTTTATAAAGCTATCGAATAAAATCACCATACTATGTAAACCTTTGGCAATACAGCCGACACAAACAGATGCGTCATCAATAGCCGAGACGCTATCTCAAAGAGTGCGTCCCTTACTTCATTCATGGTCCTCAATCTGTTACTCGTAGATGTAAGGGCGGCAGCACAGATTTATTCATTGCTGGCGAATGACAAATAAAATCTTATTCGAATAATGTCAAAGATTTGTTCGTCACTAATGGAAAAAAGTTATTTGTTATTCGGGAATAAATTCTGAGATTCTATTTGATCTTTATTTCTTATATGAAATAAAATGCGCCCAATTCTAATACACATACGCGTAATGTGTCCGATGCGTATTTTCTACAGATCAGGTGGGAGGAAGGGTGGTGCCGAAAGTGGCGAAGACTGGAGGGGGTAACGTCTCGCTGGTTGAACAGAAGAAAAACCGAAGATTTTGGGGTGAGGAGTAAGCTGCGTGTTGAATACGCACGAAACGTCTGTGGGTAGGGACAGGCAAGGGGAGACAGAGGAGTTG